CGGTCTCGGCTCCCATATGGGGCACACTTAATCTGGGCGCCCGACTCTTTGGAGCCGTGGTCGCTGCTCCGATCCCGATAAGGTGGCAAATGTCAGAACTATCCTGGCGGGTCCTGCACAGCACAGCAGTACGGGATTAACAAATGAAGCCAGGCCGGGCAATGGAGAACTGAGATCTGCAAAATGGGAAAAGGCCTGCCAGGCGACTGGCTACTGCCGTCGTTGTACTAATTAAAATTCGGCATTAATCCAGATGATTCAGCTGTCAACGGCTCACCGCCACCTCCGCCCACATTTTCCTGTTCTCCATTTTTTGGCCGAGAGTGCTGTCTGTTTTTCCGGCCCACCTCCTCCAGCCGCCTTCCGCCGCCTACGAAACGGTGCGGAAGCCATTTGCAGTCGCGCGTACGTGTGTAATTGACGTGTGGCCTGGAATATTAAAGAGAGTAAACTCCTAGAGCACTTCCCCAGCCCCTGCCCAGCCATCCCTTCGTGTCCAAGCCCAATTCCAATCCCAGAGCCATTCTCATTCCCGTCTTCCTCTTGGCCATGCTGTGTAATTATTAAAACCAACAAATAACGTTCGTGTGGTCTGTGGCGGGGATGACTGGCCTGGGGATGGGGCGTGAGGGATGGATGGACTGTGGTTAGTGGCTTAGCATAAAGCTGGAAAAATGACCAGCTCCCTGGATGGACTGGCGGCTAAACAATGGACCTGACTCAGCAGGCGCTGAAAGCAAGTCAGCCAGAAAATGGCTAAAAACGCTCTTTCAAGCTGCACTTAGCCTAATGGGCTTCAGAACTTTCTCTAAGCTTTTGCAGAAACAATTTGCCGCCACAGATAATATTTTTGGTAAATAATTTTAATATGGTTGTCTAAAGAGCAAAATTCTCAAAAATAATTTTGGAATTCCCTTTTTAGTGGTAGGTTCTTTGCCCTTGTTAATTTTCAAGTGACATGAACTGCAATTAGTGACCCTGCGCTACAAGCCAATTCCATTAATACTTTAAAACTTACTTGAATATACGTTCTGGCGGTACTTGTCATACCTTTTTAGCTTATTTTAAGAGTGCCGGAGATTTACTTTGAAAAGTTTTTCGGCTGCATGTCAAAGATTTGTGCAAACTTAATGGCGAACTTTGTCGCTTGAATTATTTAAAAGCGAGTCATGCTCGAGTTCTTCTAGCTAAATTCCCCCCCAAAAAAAAAAAATAGTGAAAATATCAAAGTTTTCCTCTCCACACTGCCACTGGCCAAAGGGATGTGTGCGAGTTTTCTGCGAGTGTTGGTTTATTCCAGCGGATTCCCACTCTGATGTGGCTGCTGCCTCAGCAGCAAACAAATGGACAGGCCTTCGGGTTGGGTTCAGGCCTGGGTTTCATCACAACTGATTGTTTAGGATAGGACATTGGACATGGGACATGGGTGATGGGAGATGGATACAGAGGACTCGGGGCTAACAACAGGCATCTGCATATAAAGGATGCCTCCTTCAGGCTCTTGGGCTTGGGGCGAAACTTTAACAAGCACTTAAGTATTAATCATGGAAATCAGAGGCAGCTGCGGGCTGAAATCGGGGCGTGGAAGGGGCTTGGGAAGCTCGGGAAGGACCTGTGTGGTCCGAAAGTTTGCCATAGCTATCAATGTCACAAGGACCCCCAAGCTCCCAGCTCCCAGTTCCCTGCTCCCAGCTGCCAGCTCCGAAAGCCTAATGAGGCATTAAACCTAACTGCTCAACTTTGCGCCTGTCAAGCGCTTATTAAATTTACCGTTTTATTGGTCCAACAACTTGGTGTTAAATATGGAACTCCCGCCCTACCTTCCCCCTCTCATACCGAGTGGTCAGTGGGCGTGGCCGGAGGGCTGGTGGGCTGGGCTTTAAGTGAAATCAGATTACGTTGTTTATCGCTCAGTGCCGTCTGGCTAACCAGGCGAGCCGAGGCGAGTGTCCTTCGCAGGACCTCCTCCGGCCTTCCTCCTCCTGCCTTGACACATTTAAATAGTTGCCAAGTTCAGCAAATTTTATTCGATGTAGTTAATTTTGTTCTACGCCAACGAAATTGTATTAGCCATTTATTTAGTCAAATTCTTGCTGTTGCTTCTCTGCTGCTGTGGTGGTGCGTGCCTGCCACTCCCATTAATGGGTAGTTGGAAGTTTTTCGATGTAATTGGATTGCAAACTTCTGCCAAAATGGCCAAATGGGCAAACACAATAAATTCAAGACGGCAGACGGTCGGACAGGCAGGCAGACAGGCAGCCAGCAGGCCAAAGAATCTGATTTGTCTGCTCGGTTGGATGCTCTTCGCATTTAAAGGCATTTTCCATCCAACATGCTGATACTTTTTGCTAAACTTGGCTCGGTTTCTGTGGCTGGTCCTTTGATGAATTATTAATGAAGCGGCGGCTTGATTAAGGACCAAATTTTAATAATTTGTTGGCTAACAAAAATGTTGTAAGACTTTTAAATTTTAAATATAAAAAATATGCTTTGGAAAACTCTTTATAAAAAGACTTGTTTAGAAATCAATAACTAGGTAGGACTTATTTGAACCCCACAAGAATCCCTGCATAAAGAAAACATTCCTATAAAGTCCATCCTTATCCGTTGATGGGTTACTATTTCACAATCCATTCAAAAAATCCTAACCTATTTGGGCCATCCCTTTTTTGAATTGGAAACGCCTCGGAATCGGAATTGAATGGAATCGGTTGCCATGTTTACTGCGGGGATCAAAAGACCATCTCAAGGATACTCCACTCGACTCGTCAAAGATATTTCCATTTGGCAATCGCAAATCAAGGCGCACTATATTTGATATCCTTCCCCCCGAAAATGACTCGAATGGAATACGTCGAATTATTGAATTGATGCTGCCCGATAAGCCCTAACTCGATTACCACCTGTCAGTCCCCGAGCCCAAGCCCAATCATCATTCTCATCGTCTTGTTTACCCAGCTAACTGGATGTTTTCGGTCCAGAGGCCGGGGTGTGGGCTTTAGGGGCTTATACAGGGGGATAGCCTTCTGCGAGGCTTCAAAGTATTATGAAATATTTATGCACACGCCACTGCGGATATTCACTCAAAAGTGGTGAACGGCGAACGGTGAACGGAGGGTCCTGCCGTGCTTCTGTGTTGAGTGGCGACTGGCGAGTGCTGAATTCTGAATTTCGAATTCTGAATTCCGAGTGGAGTGTGTGACTGACTGAAAGCTCTCAAAATAGTTGCAGGAACGGTGGCGGAGTGTGGGTTGGGGGACGGCCTGGGCATCCCTGGATGTTTATCCTGTGTGGTGGCAAGAGCGAGAGGTCCTTGAAAGAGAGCTGCTCAGTTGAGTTTTGCTTTGCGGTCGATGTCTGTGGCGGAAATGAAACGTGCTTTCTCCCTTAACTCTGTGTATGTGTGATGAGGAGAGCGGATGTATCGGTGTCTGTGTGTGGGTTGGGACGGTATGTATGTGTGTGTGCGTTTGTGGGGTCTCTGGTACGTGCCCGTGTTTGTGGCATTGAGTAATCATCAGCGTTGAAAATTGCGTTTTTTATGGGGCCAGTGGATTGGGGATGAATGGTTCTAGGGGATGAACTTGATGGGCCCAGACGGCTGAGGGGGTTCTAAGCTGGTTGTGGCAGGGGGCAAGGCAAGGTGTTACGGCAAAAGTGCTGGCGGTGCGTTAGCTGTACTTAGATTATATGGCGTATGTAAATTTACAGTGGAATAAAGGAATAAGAACCTAAACTCCAAAGGACCTTATAAAATCAAAACAGAAAATTAAGACAGGCAGGTATATCTGCAAAAGTTAAATATAACTAATTCCAGATTTATAATAATAATCCCTCCTAGCAGTCAAAACACAATCTATAATTGGGATTTTGAATCTCACATTTTACAACTCAGAGGGGCAACTCCTTCTCCATCTGAAAGCTTCATCTTGATGTCCTCCAAGATATCCTTCTTTCAGTGTACTTTGTATAACCTGCATTCCTGACTCTCCATTATCCTGCTGTGCGTCGCCCGTATGCGTGTGAGTGGCACAAGTGTCACGGCATGGCATCGCAGTAAAATCCTTTTTTATGGCCTAGCCCAATGCCTCAGCATCGCCTTTCTTTCTGACATTCCTCCGCAAGTATATTGTTGTCCCAGCCCTGTACCACTCGTCTCAGCAATCTTTTCCAGCCAAAGGGCAAGGGCAGGAAAAATTAATTTCGCAACATATTCAAAGGGTTATTAAACATAATTTATTAAAACCGAAATTGTATAAAGTCGGTTCAGAGCAGGGGGTAAGGCTGGGGCCGGGGAGGCCTCACTCCCATAAATTGTTCAGATTTTTGTCGTTCGCCGGCTCGGGTTATCCCTGGTTATTCCTGGTTATCCGGAGGGGTCACGGGGTCATGTGCGTGCCCTCGTTTGTGGCTGACGCCGCTTTTAACGGCTTTTCGCAAATGGGCGTTTCATCCATGCCATCCTGCCATGTGTTTTTTATCCAGCTCGTTTGTGTTTTTTTTTTTGGGGCTTTTGTGCTTTCTGCTCGAGCAACAAATGTCGCACAGTTAATGTTGTAAACAAGTTGTGCGATGCTGTGCGGTTCCGGCCCGGCCCGGCCTGGCTCGCCTTTGGGTTATGATGTATGTGGCAGGCGTGGCAAATCGGAAATTTAATTTCCCAGCCAACGAGCCGTTCGACCGCATTGCTTTTTGGGCCAGCTCATAACGGCCGGCTTAATTGCTGGCCATAATTTAAGCTAACCCGAAACCAAATATAGTGCACTAGGAAACCATTCTAAAGTCCGCAGAGGGAAGGGGTTCAAAGTGCTATATCCTCTTATTTGCTTTAAATGGCACAATAAATATGGTCCTTAAAAGCTGTCTCATAAATGGGTTTTAGAAAGAAAAGAAAAGCTATGAGAGTTGTTTAACTTACAGTCTTAAAATCATAGGCTTCCAAATTAAAATTCTCTATGATTTGCGATTAATTTGCGTTGTTTTTTTTTTCAATTTTCCAGGCACTGCTTCATAGCCACGATGTGGTGGCCCGGGACGTTTACGGGGAGGAGGCGCTGCGCGTCACGCCGCCCCCGATGGTGCCCTACCTCAACGGGGACGAACTGGACAACGTCGAGGGTGGGGAACTGCAGCATGTGACCCGAGTGCGGTTGGTGCAGTTCCAAAAGAACACGGACGAGCCAATGGTAAGCCGGTCATCCGAAGGAGTCCCTGGAGGGAAATATGCTCTGACCTAACCCAAATCCTTGCAGGGCATCACGCTGAAGATGACCGAGGACGGGCGGTGCATTGTGGCCAGGATTATGCACGGCGGGATGATTCATCGCCAGGCCACGCTCCACGTAGGGGACGAGATTCGGGAGATCAACGGCCAGCCGGTGCAGCACCAGTCGGTGGGGCAACTGCAACGAATGCTGGTGAGTTCTCAGCCCCATAAATCCCCTTCAATCATCTGCTATCCGGCCTGCTAATTGAAAACGTTCAACTTTTAATCCTTCTTTTGCAGCGCGAGGCACGCGGTTCTGTTACCTTCAAGATAGTTCCTTCGTACCGCAGCGCTCCGCCCCCCTGCGAGGTGAGTTACCTGTGTTAATTGGTTTCCTAGGGTTTGTTAAGAGAGCCTGTCTCCCAGAGACTGGCCAACCTGCGTACTAATCAAACAACAAGCTATAAACTAACCACAATGTTGACTTCACATTTCACTAGAAGTACGGCATCATTATCCCACAGTTTCACCAGATTTGTTCGCAAGAAGAAAAGGATAAGGGAAGAGAAATTTTTATTAAAATCCAAGACACAAACACCCTTTTAATAAAGACCACAAGTTATAATCTGATTTAATAACAGAGAAGAATTCGAAACTCACAGCAATAGCCTTCGTGTCATCCGCTTTGTCGCAGTTGTTTAATTATTCTATTAAGGACATCATCGGCTTTTGATAGATATATCTATAGCCTTTAATTCCGGACGTAAATGCTGCCGTCAACCTCAGAGCTCGTTAATCCAAATACCTTGGCATTAGGTTATTAAATTCAATGAAGTGGAAGGCTTTGATTATTTGCGTTATTTGGCGTAATCAAAATATCAATAAGGATTAATTAAGGGAACAGCATGAGCTGAAAGTGTGCCCTTCCTGGAGCTTTAGTTTCTGTAAAATCGAAGGCCCAGGCAGTCGAGTGCATTATGCAAATTATAAACTAACGAGCCTGCCGAGAGAGAGGGCGGTGGCATAAATATCCTTGTGTTCACAGGGATGTAATATTCATGGGTGTGTTAGTTATGTATATATATGGTATGAGGTATATCCTTGCAACCCACATCCGTGAGTGGGTGTAGTCGTAGTTATAATCCATTATGCAATTATTGCGCTGAACGTTAACACAACTTCACATCTCTGTTCGTTCCTTCCGCCTTGTATTTCCCCTTCCCTCATGCAACCATATGCAGCTTTTCAGGATCAGACCCGCTCCGGTGCTTGTAAGTATCACAACGCTCCCAAACAATAGACACGTAATCACACCCAGCACACAAGGAATTTTCCAACCGCAACTCTTGCCCCACAGCCCATAGCCCCCAAAAACCCATCCATCCCATCCATTTCCATTCCCCCTTTCCGAGTAGATGTGCATATTCATTAACCGACTTCTCAGACAAGTCAAAAGCCACAACTCGCAACTCACAGCTCACACAAGAACCCCAAATTTGTCTAATTTATGCTCATCATTTGGCCAAAAACAAAGCCAGCAAGCAGGTTCTTTGATGTCCTGCCGAAGGATGTTAGAATTGTGACTAATATGCTAACGGCTTAACCGTTGTGGTGGAAAGAAAAACACTTTCATTACCAAGCACTTAAAGTAAACCAAAGAAGAGTATCCAGTATTTGGAGTCTGCTTGCTGGACTTGTTTGTTGTTAACGAATTTGTTACCGTGGCTGCTTTTGACATGCAAATGGGTTTCCCACACCATTCGGCAAACCGAAACCCACTTTGCTGAGGCAGCCTCGAATTCTGGCCGGTTGCAGCCTCAGCAGAAAATAAATGAAACCGAGAGGAAAGGCAACTCATCGGCCTGCAACCAGCACCGCTCACTATCCGCTGATTTTCTTGATGTTTAATGCTCATCTGGTTCATTTCTGTGGTCTTTGCCTTTTTTCCAAATGCAGATTTTCGTGCGCGCACAATTCGATTATAATCCGCTGGATGATGAGCTTATACCCTGTGCCCAGGCGGGCATATCGTTCCAAGTGGGCGACATACTGCAGGTAAAACTCGAGAGGCACTTGGATGTCCTTAATGTTCTCTAATTCGATCTTTAAACATTCCCAGATCATTAGCAAAGACGATCATCACTGGTGGCAGGCGCGACTGGACACTGTGGGCGGATCGGCAGGACTGATACCGTCGCCGGAGCTGCAGGAGTGGCGGATCGCCTGCCAGACGGTCGACAAGACCAAGCAGGAGCAGGGTGAGTCCCAGGGCGGATCCGACCTCGGAAGCCCGACATCTCGAACTCGAACTATCCGTGTTCTCTATGTGTAATTGGATGCTCGATATAATCAAATCAAATCGTATGCTATATGAATAATTGTACTTATATTGGAAGTGTATGACGAACTCGTAGTTAACCGAAAGGGAAAGCGCTCTCTACTCTAACTCCTCCAAACTCTCAGCCACACAGCCCACCCACATTTAACACCCACAAGCCACCCACAATCACAATCACACGCCACACGCCACAGTCTGTACACAAACATTCAGAGAGTTGCATGCCCCGTTTCAAAAGTAGTCAAAGAAAAAACCTTTTCAAATTAACCAAAAAATGAAAGCGAGGCCCCCAAATGCTGCCAAAATTCAAGCCAAACTAAATATTTAGCCTACACTTTACATGAGCACACCTGTACAATACTCTAATATCTAGTTAAAGCATCTCGAATCAAAACGAAAGATATCGCTATATAAACTGTATGTATAATAATATAATGCAGGAGAGCCGGGTGCTGGATGTTCCGCTCACGCAGATGGGTGTGATGGATCAGCAGGTAGTTACCATATAACCAAAAACCAAACCACCAACCCACCACCCAACCAAACTAAATACACACCTCCAAACTAAATAAACCTCCCGCCAGGAGAGCTGTCAAGACTCGACTTTTAAACGTTTCTTCTTGAGTTCTGTTATGCCACAAATACAACATAGACACAGACACCTATTTACAACAGAATTTGTATTGATAGAAAATCGTTTGTACAATGAACTCACCCACTCGAACCACTCAGCCCACCCAAAAAACCCAACGTTGTAGCTTCTGTAGACGGCACCACCGAACCCCACCCAGCCGCGAAGAATCGTGTAGAAAGCATACCTCCCATGATCACGATCGCCATCTGTAAACAGTAGACACGACCACAGCACCACAGTCATCGTTGAGCCCCGCTTCAATCCCCAAAAGATATAACCAGCCTTCCCAAGAAATTAGTTAACCACCACAGCAACCCTAAGATCACACCACTGCACGTTAGGCTGGCTTAAAGATCACCCACATACTCTAAAGAATATTCAGATCAGGAGCTAGCTATAAAAAATCGATTAAGTTGCCTTTAAAATATCTATAAAATCAAGTCAGGAGCTTTTGTATCTCAATCATTACAATAGTTATATCATCCATCCATCTGAGGCCAAGCAAACGCAGCTTGACTCTTTGCTCGATGATTTTTGTAAGCATGCTTTTTGTCTGCTCTCAAGCATGCTGCTCGACTCTACTCTCTACTCTTCTTTGCCTTTTAGCCATAAGTTTGTACAGTTTGTTAACACCCGCTCTCCATTATTGCCAACAGTTAATTGCTCCATCTTCGGGCGCAAGAAGAAGCAGTGCCGGGACAAGTATCTGGCCAAGCACAATGCCATCTTCGACACGCTCGATGTGGTCACGTACGAAGAGGTTGTCAAGGTGCCAGGTGGGTCTCAGCCTCAGCCCCATTCGGATGAACTTACCTTAATATTTGTTCTTTTGTTTCACCAGTTGGAGACCCGAACTTCCAGCGAAAGACATTGGTGCTATTGGGTGCCCATGGAGTGGGCAGGCGGCACATCAAGAACACCTTGATTTCCAAGTACCCGGACAAGTACGCCTATCCCATTCCACGTAAGTTCATGGCCTTCTGCCCTCCCATTTGCCAAATATTCTATAAGAAAGTAACCATTATATTTTGTCGACGATTTAAAGCTTCTAATATTTCACACGCTTTGAACGTGGGTTTATCTTATAATCGTTGACAAAATATCACTCCATTAGACGAGTTAATGATGTAGAACAATTGATTGCTTACTTCACAAATAAGCTATCATTCGACTTTGCAAAATTATTTATAGAGTTCTTAGTAAGAACTTCTTACCTCTGTAATATTTTATATCCAGGCTATGGTTAGTCAACTTTGAACTGAATGGCTTTTTAAAGCACCATTAACAATTTATGAATACACTCATAAATATCATTGCAGATACAACGAGACCTGCTAAGCCCGAGGAGGAGAATGGACGCAGCTATTACTTTGTTTCGCACGACGAAATGATGGCCGATATCGGAGCGAATGAGTACTTGGAATACGGTAATGAAACCTCTTCCAGGACCTTGTCCCAGTGACTTATTCGTATCCTTATAGGCACCCACGAGGATGCCATGTACGGCACCAAGCTGGATACCATCCGGCGCATCCACACCGAGGGAAAGATGGCCATATTGGATGTCGAGCCGCAGGCGCTGAAGATTCTCCGCACCGCGGAGTTCACCCCTTATGTCGTCTTCATAGCCGCACCTTCGCTGCAGAACATAGCAGACGTGAGTGGGGACCTCTGTCGGGATAGCATTCCTCTCCTAATCCTAATTGTTTCTTTGAATCCTCCTACACAGTACGATGGCAGCCTGGAGCGACTGGCCAAGGAGTCGGACATGCTGCGGCAGTTGTACGGCCATTTCTTCGACCTGACCATTGTGAACAACGACATCAGCGAGACGATTGCTACCCTGGAGACGGCCATCGAAAGGGTGCACACCACCCCGCAGTGGGTGCCCGTGTCCTGGCTCTACTGACAAGACAGCGAGCTTGAATGCCCCGACTGCCTCGAGGGCTGTGACTGCGAGTGGGACGCCTACACGCAGGCCTCCAATGTGGCGCTCTACTGAGGCACTAACGCACCACATCACCACAAGACACACAATGACACCATAGCACACCACACCACACACCACGACACCGTGAAGTATTACCAAGGCACAAACAACAGCAACAGATGCAACATGCAACAGCAACCACTACGAGATGACAGTGAGGATAGGAGGCGCCTGGCGCCGAGCTATATAATTTAAGAATGGAAGGGTATTATGGGAACTGCGGTCGCAACGCAAGACACAAAGGTGTTGATTGTCAAACAACCAATTGTAATTGCCTCTATATGGTTTACGTTTAATTGTAATAATTTTAAAATGTTTTCCATCCCAGATAGGGTGAGAGACAGAGGTCTCTACCTATAGGGGGCTAGGAAAGATTGTATTGCCAATTGTATTGCCATTCCAAGTGGCCTTAGAAGGCCTCCGTTCATTGTGTTATTTTACCACTATTATATTGTTTTGTTGTATTTATGTTTTTATTGACATTTAGTCAGAACAGCATTAAACGCTTATGTAAATCTTGCACTTGTTAGTGTCTAAGTTAACTGTGGAGGCAGAAGAATCGAAGGCCCAGATGAAACCGAAGCACTCCACTCCAATTGTTTTTAAATAGAGGATTATTTATGGAGGGAATCTTGTGAGTGAGGAGAGCGGCGTTGAACGAGTTAGTAAATTATAGAGAAAACTACGTAATTAAATATAATTAAAATAGACACAGGAGACATAACATAACAGCAACCAGAAGAAAGAGTTAGGATGTGAGCAATTTCAAGTGTTTCAAGCCAAGTAATACATAATTAATTACTTACGGAGGGACGAGGAGCGTAAGGTGCACATTTTAAATGCAATAAACATAACGAATAGTACAGAAAACAAAAGGGATTCCAGTCACCACACTTACACTCGAAGAAACCGAGCAGCATATACACGAAACTAATTACCAGATTGTTGACGTTTAATTGAATTCAATGAGAAATGAGTATGATAACGAAAAAAACATAAGAAATGCAATCAAACATAATAAAATGATAAATTGCAGCAGAGTTTAATTCAAGCAAAAAATAAAAACAAAATAAAATGCAAAAGCAAATTAAACAAATGGAAAAACATAGAGTGAGCACTAAACACACATACTAACAGCAATTACGAATTAAAATAATTAGCAAAGGTCGCGAAGAGATTGCGGGTCAACGCAACACTCACACACCCAGTACACACATATACACAAATATATAAAAAAAAAAATTACAAAAAAAAGAAAAACATGTAGGAAAATGAGAAAATATGTATACACACACATATATATTTTTCGAACAACTCAAACTCAGGTTGGATACATTGAAAATCAGTCAAGTTCAATAAGAATAAATATAGCGGAGCGCTTCCTTTTAACCCACAGCCAAAGCAGAGACCGACTTACCAAGGTAACCCCCTAAAGGGGTTGAGGAGAAATTGCGGACGGAAAATCGGAAAATCCATTCCAATCCAATCCAGAGAGTGTGCCGGAAGGAGATGATGTTAGATCGCTTTGAATTCGACTTGAATTGAAATCTTACACCCACAGCAGGCCCAGTACCACCCAAGACAAGCAGCAGCTTCAAGTTTTCGAGATACTTTACACGTGACAATGTCTTAGCAATCAGCAGCAAACCACCCTGTTTTTTATTTTTGGTGCAGCTTAAACCTTGAGACTCTTTAGCGTTTTCCCTTGCTGTAGGTATCCGACAGATACATTCCCCCAAACCCCCTGCCCCGACCCCTTGAACTAAACGAAGGAAAACTGAATTTAGATTACGACTACGGAGAGCACATGCAATCACTTATCAAAGTTGAAAAATTGAACTTAGTATTTAACTAAAAAAAGAAACCGCTTGGTTCGAGCCCAAAACCGCAACCACACAGCCCACTTGAATTTCCCAACCACACAACAACCACAACGTACGTATATCCAGAACAATTCTATGGTTTCAAAATGGTTGAACAATTTTGCAGAGTATTATCGTTAGACACGCTGGGCAACGTTTTTTTAGTTCAGAGAAGAAGGCAATGCAAATCATAGAAGTGTGTCCCAAAATCTAACAACCGATCCTACCCAAAAACCGAAAAAAAAAACCAAAAACAAATGAAAAGAAAAGAACTAACTACCTACCCACTACCACAAAAGCAGCCGAGTGGCCAAATTAACTAAGAGTATTATTAATTATACCTTAAAGATCGGGGCTGCAGTAATGGGCTCCCCAGACGAAGCAACAGGCTGGGTGTGCCAAAAAACACCAATTAAGAGGAAATCAGTAGAGGAGGAGAATTGGAGAGTGGAGAGGTCAGGAGAAATGATTAGGAGAATGCTCAAATCAAAATCTAATGTTTTACGATATAGGAAAGATTGAAAAGTATTAAAAGGGGAAAAAGCAGACAAGAAGCTAGGATTTCGAAGGACTCGTTTGGTATTTTTAATTGATCCTTTTTCTTAGCCGATGCGAGCAGATTGTAGCTGTACTCTAAGAATAATTTCACCCTAAGATTAAGTAAAAATTTATTGTTGATATTACATAAAGAAAGGGAATGATGAACATGAAGGCGGAAACCAAATGAATTAGAATTTTTCTCTAATTTCATAAGTTAACGAAGGGCAATGATAAGAACGGTAAAGATAACGATGACGATGACGATGATGCTGATGAAGAGTTGATGATGCTTATGATCTCCAATGTCAATATATGTAGATTGACGCGATTTGAGCTAATTGAGTGAATTGTTGTTAAAATAAATGAAATGAAATAAATGAAATGAGTGGAGTCGTTCGATCGATTCGGGGCGCACAGAGGCCGGTTAGAAAATATCATTTAAAGTAAATGATAAAAATGTCATTATATATACATAGTTTAAACATGGGATTAAATAATAAAATTCAAAATGAAACAGAACAAACTGAACGGAATGAATGAGAGGAGATGACGAGGCGGAAATGCAAATTAAATAAAAGCGAGTAAACACTGAAATACCGAATTTTAAATAAAAAACTTTTCAATTGTGCATGCAGCAAAGACAAACCAGACAAACTTAATTCTATATATATATATAAAACAAAAAACTGAAAACAAAAAATATACGAGAGATACAATTTCAACTTGAGCTTTTGTGTGGCGGAAGTTCCCTCCTCCATCCCGGGCTGGCCCCCAGACTTTTGGTTTTCTACGAAAGCCATCGGTCAGAAGCCAGAATTCCGTGGAAATCCCCAATGGAGAGCCGCACAGCCAAGGCAACGTGACAAGCGGATGCCCTGCAGCCATGGCTACCTCCGAGATATTTTTGCATCTGTATCTTCTAATTGAAACACTAAACACGAACATTAAACTTCAAACGCTGTCACAGTCTGCCCAGAAGCTTGACCCAAATTTGTTTGCTTATTTTCAAGGCAATGCGAATTTGATACTTTCGTTTTTATTTTGGCTTTTTATCACTTTTTGTGTTTCTGGTGTTTGGCTTTTGGTCCAAGTACCAAAAGTTTTTGATTACAACATTCTGGGCTTTGTTTAGGTCTTGCGCAAACTACGAACTGCAATCACTTCGTGGAGCCGCCTCCAGAAACGTGCTGGGAAATTTTAATAAGCGGAAGAACAGAGTCCCCCCGGGGCGGCAGATGTCAACAATAGGTATTGGTGCCAGGCTGTCGGACATTAGCATTGGCCCTAGCCATAACCGTTCGAGTTGGAGGAGTAGAACCACTTCCATTTCCGGTCATTGAACTGCGCTTTAAAGACAGCAACATTTCAGCAGCAACAGCTGCAGCAGCAGCAACATGTTGCCGGTCGACTGCAACACTAGTTGCTGGTGGATCGCTGATCGGCTGGCTCTCCGGCGATCGAGTTTTGATAGCCACAGCCAGTTTTTTCTCTACGAACCGGTAATGCACGAACGAACCGGGCCATGGATAACGGATAACTGAGCGCGACTTCGAGCTCGCCGCCTTATACTCGAATCGTATCTGGCCGCATCGCCAGATACAAGTATCTGAAGCTATAAGTATAAGTATGTATGGTCGGCTGTGGTCACAGCAAAGTCGAGCTGCCGGAGGTTAGGTTGTGCTGTTCGAGCTGCTCGCGTTTCGTGGAGCGTAAGGTGCTTTAGATGCGGTTGCGTTTTCGGCCTCAGATTCCGGCTTTGTGATTGCAATTGAAGGCACATCACGTCACAGTGTGTGCTCGGTGTGTGTGCGGTGTGTTTTGGTGCTAGTTTGGGCACTTGAAAGTGTACGAGTGTCTGGTGTTTCGGAAACCCAATAGCGGAGCACAATCGCAACTCGATACCCAGTCTAAATTTAGCCATTCTCTTATCACTCGAGGGCGCCATGCGGCAACCTCTGACCCACAAGCTTCGCGGCTACGAAATATAATTTACAATTTCCATAACAAGTGCCACCGACCAAGTGATAAGACATCGTTCCAGAGCTGCTGTAGAGACCCGAGTCTCAGTCTTGGCGCATCTCGCAGATACGTCTGTGAGCTTCTGTCGATCCGATCGTGGATTTTTCGGTTACGTCAATTTCAATTCGAGTTCTCGACCAGGTAAATAAGAAATAACTAAGCAAAACCGAAAATAGCAGCAGCCGCAGTCTCAGTCTCAGTCTCGGTCGCAGTCAGACAACTTTTGTTTAACACCGCTCAAGGAAACCCAAAGAGGCTACACCACCGGGGCAAGCATAAAATTAAGCGCGGCTTATAAACTGCAGACCTTATGCCCCTTCTGTCTCACATACCCACTAAAGTGGTGTGCCCTTCGTCCAGAAGCCACCGGACCACAGAAGGCTCATAAAATGCGCATAAAGAATCTCCAATTGGCTGAGCTTCAGTCTAGCAGTCTACAAATACACAGAGAGAAAATGTCTTGCAAAGCGGAATTAAGATTAGACCTAGGTATTTAAGATTTGAGAGACAGCTCTTCCTTGACAGGTGCATAATCTTATACTCTGAGCCTTCTTTTGTCAGACAAATCAAACCACTTTTCTCTCTGTGCAGTGGGAGTCACAGTTGAACGAGCTGATTTAAGTTGCCTTTGGTTTTGGAGTCCGAGTGCGCACATTGAATTTTTGATTCAATCCGTCTTCTTCATCTCGAACTCCGGTTTGCGGCATTTATTTTTGTTTTGGGTCTTTTGCACAAGGTTATGCGTCCGCTATTGTAAATACCCCCAATACTAACTATCATTATGTCACATAACATGTGCCTCTCAAGTGGCGCTCTGGCTTTACGGCTAAAGTTTGGCAATTGGTGCCCTCACTTGCCATGGATCGCTCTAAGCAGCTTATTAGAGGTAATAAATGTTTGCTAGAATTTTGAATGCTGTGGGCTGCCTTGAGAGGGGGATTTAAGCGCGGCTCTATTATCTGTAAGGTCCAGCGCTTGGGGCCAAGTTTGATGCCACCATAACTGCTGATAGTGAAACACTATTCTCTGTATATAGTATACAGAGTCTATAAAATATGCAATGACTGCCGGATTCCTGGAATCCAAGCATCCGAGGTGTGCCTTTATTAATTGTCATATAATCGCTTATCGCGATAAAGGGAGATGAATGGAATTCATTTTTTCAACCTTTGTTCTATTCAGGGTTTCACTTCCTGTCGCACATATAGTTTTTTTTCCCGCCAGACAGGTTAGACGTCGCCCAGATATTATGGTTCACTTAAATTGTTAACAATTGGAGTGTCATAATGGCTGTTTTTCGACGGCTGCCGTTTGGCTACCGTTGCGCTCGACTGCCTCGAATTAGTGCGACAGGTGTGACTCACGAACGTGGCTAACACCCGGCTAACCTTTGTGTACATTTTGTTATTTTTTCTCTGTTTTTGTATCTATTTATTCGTATTTATTTTTTGGTCGGCCAAACACGTCGCTGGGGCTGATAACGGCTCGAATTAAAAGTTGCCTCGCCATGTTGTTAGAATGTCTACTGGCCCGGGCTAATTTCTGACTTGCATTCGGCCAGTGCTGGCCGTGTGTTGTGTTTTGTGTGTTTGCGGCTTCCTCGCTTGGCCATAATCTCTGGTGAAAAATTGGCGAACGGATAAACCGGTCTGCAGCCGAGTGGGCCAACAAGAAAAAAAACGGTTACGAGGCATGCAAAATGATTTTTTTCGTTTATGTTTAGGAAATAATTTGCAAGTCAAACTTCAAGACAACCGAACCAATTTTGATGGCTTTACTTTGTAGCGCTGTTTATGACCCAAGCCTCTTTGGGGGATAATTGCAGCCACTTAAGGCGATCGTAGAATAAGCTGCTCATCGTCAGCCAGTCCGCCAGCTGGCCTTTACTGAACCCAACTCGGCTCAGCTCGGATTTACTCGCAGCTCAACGGTTCAAGTTCAGCACTACCGAAGGTTCAGGGTCAATTAGAGCCCGCATAAATTATCACCCGGCTTATAGGCTACGTAGCTAAAAGCAAACTCGACGGCCCTGCAATTATAGCTGAACAGTAAACTCTGATGTAGTTGGACGATCGGTATTTGAAGTTAATCTCTTGAGTAGAGTCTAGACCAAATTATTTGGAAATTGGTCCAAATGGTACGTTTACACATTAATTGTTGAATGAAAAATGGCTTGTTATAGACGTCCGGAAAAGTTGCTTTTAACTTGTTTTGTCACGCGTTTTAGTGAATAGCAATTAGTTTTTGTTTAGTGTAGTCATTGTCGGGCTTTTACCCTTTTTTATGAATTTCGTATTATAACATATGTACTTTTAAATTGTTGCTAAATTTTACTCCAATGTGCACATGCAACCATTTAATTTGAAGCTATCAACTCAAATAGGAATATATTTAATTCTAAACACCACTTTTCTCGTTCACACCGTGATTGTTAGAAACTAGTTTTTCCTGAAGCTTGTTACTAAATGGAAATTATATTAATTTTACTATTTTTTTGAAGTAGACATCTTCAACGATGATTTAAAATGATTAGAATTTAATTTTTGTTCTGTAAGGTTTTTTATTCAGTTTATGGCAAAAGTTTAGCTTAGCTTGCGGATCTTTGTTTTACTCGCATTTGCAAAGACAACATACATTTTTTTTAAGCAAATATTTTTTTTTTTATTTCAGTTTTCTTTTGCATGCTAAAAAGCTATGAGCCCGCGCCCGAGCCCCAGCCCGCGGCCGGGTCTGTTCTGGCTTGTCACACTGGTGCTCCTGGCCAGTGGATCTCCCGGCAGTCGCGAATCCCAGCTAAGGATCGGCAAGGCCATCAATATATTCCTGCGATACGGCTACCTCAGCATCTCAATGAGGGTGATACCCTCAAACGACATGGCGGAGAGTGAACGTTGGGTCTTTAAGGAGCCCACCAAAAATGTATACAAGGTAAGGTTCTGGAATAACACTAACCCTCTTTCAAAATCAATTAATGGGTTTCCTTGTAGAACCTCAGCGGCCTGGCGGAAAGTCATGAGGACACTACGCCTGGAATCTTCCATGGCGACTTTCACATGGAGTTCTGTGAGAATCGACGGCAGTTGTTTCAGGCCTATTTCCGTGACTTTTCCATCGAGAGAATGGACAAACCCTGGGAGGCGTTTACGGGTGGTTGGTTCCCGGAGAACGCAGCCAAAAAGCTGGGCATTAACACCTCCTTCATTCAAGGAGACTACTCTTACGTTCTGGTCAGAGTAGTGCGTTTCCGAGAAACTGGTCGTCTGAAGTCAGCGATTCCCGTGCACCAGGACGTGGTACCGGAAGTAAAGACACAAATAGATCAGCTAGAGATAGGCAACCTTACCTCCGCAATGACCTTCATAGAAAATATTGGCACTCACTACGTGAATTCCTACACAACAGGGAACTCGCTGTACCAAGTCTTCGTGTTCAGCCGCAGGAACTACCGCATGATTAAGGAGCGGATTAAGAGCAAGGGCCTGAACGCCCTATCCAAACTTGACCTATACAACTACTTTGCCCCATGGTTTGCTGAGCATCTGGGGCAGATCCGATCTGCCAGCGGCAACGCCACCGTGGAGCGCTGGGCCAAGAGGAAGCTGCAGTACGAGTACTACGTCATCAAGTACCAAACACTTCTAAAGATCCACGGAAACAGCACCCTACTGCGATCCCTGGATCAGCTACTCGGCAACGACGCCATCCTGCAGCTTGACCTTAAGGCGCTGAATCCCGTTTTCCGGGAGCAGCCGAAGAAGGAGAGCTGGTTCCACGAAGTTCTTGACAACAATATGAAACTCTGGGAGCTCAACATGCCGCAGAGCCATCCAATCCGGTGATCAAATCGTACAGAAATAACATAAATGTCCCATCATGGAAAGTTTATATTTAAAAGAAGTTCTTGCAGGCCACAGATCTTAAGAATCCTAAAATCTTAGTTAAATTCGAGTAGAAGTTGCCAAAGATACGAAGGGAAGATACGAAATTCCTAAGGTACACACTTAAATTGGCAACAAGAGATGAAGATCGGTTTTCATTTTTCATTTCATTTGTTTTTCTGTGCGGTTTTACGGTAGCCAAGGATCAATAGTTCCTAGATGCATAGTTGTAGTCTTAGTCTTCTAGTGCGTAGTTAATGTTTTGCCTGTGATAGTTTTAGGTAGTTTAATTCATAAGTGCCTTCTTTGACACTGACTTGCATTTAAGCCAATTAGCTCATAAGATCGCCTTATTACTATACTAGAACATGAAATAATTAAAAATATTTTAATTGAAGTACCCCATTTTGTTGCCATTTTACACCTCTTCTACTTACAACTTGGTAGGTTTGAAGAAAGTGGTAAGTATTCATGTTCAGAAATTTATAAATTCTACGATGGATATTCTTTTCAAAACGACAAGGATCCTAGCGGTACCCAAATAAAATTATGGTTTTTCCCAATTTCCCCACTTTTGCTCCTGCGATGGCCATGGCTCTGCCGAATAATATCCGATCTGGAAATAAAGTACCATTTTGTAATCAGCAAATCAGTGGCGGATTTAAGGAAAAAGGCTCAGTGGGCAAAATTTTTTCAGGGTACATTGAAGGGTATTTTGTAGGGTACAGCCCAGAAAATTTGACAAAAAATCTTAAAAATATGTTGTTCCCAGATTTTGATGCAGATTTATGAAGAATCGATCCACAAATCGTTTAAGGTATTCCGTTCAAGAATCGGATGAATATTTCCTAAGATATGGCCTTCGCAGTGGGTCATATGGGGCTCCCCATGCATTTTGCACATTTTGAAGGGGACAGCCCAGAAAATTTGACAAAAAATCTTAAAAATATTTTGTTCCCAGATTTTGATGCAGATTTATGGAGAATCGATCCACAAATCGTTTAAGGTATTCCGTTCAAGAATCGGATGAATATTTCCTAAGATATGGCCTTTGCAGTGGGTCATATGGGGCTCCCCATGCATTCTGCACATTTTGAAGGGGACAGCCCAGAAAATTTGACAAAAAATCTTAAAAATATTTTGTTCCCAGATTTTGATGCAGATTTATGGAGAATCGATCCACAAATCGTTTAAGGTATTCCGTTCAAGAATCGGATGAATATTTCCTAAGATATGGCCTTCGCAGTGGGTCATATGGGGCTCCCCATGCATTTTGCACATTTTGAAGGGGACAGCCCAGAAAATTTGACAAAAAATCTTAAAAATATTTTGTTCCCAGATTTTGATGCAGATTTATGGAGAATCGATCCACAAATCGTTTAAGGTATTCCGTTCAAGAATCGGATGAATATTTCCTAAGATATGGCCTTTGCAGTGGGTCATATGGGGCTCCCCATGCATTCTGCACATTTTGAAGGGGACAGCCCAGAAAATTTGACAAAAAATCTTAAAAATATTTTGTTCCCAGATTTTGATGCAGATTTATGGAGAATCGATCCACAAATCGTTTAAGGTATTCCGTTCAAGAATCGGATGAATATTTCCTAAGATATGGCCTTCGCAGTGGGTCATATGGGGCTCCCCATGCAATCTGCACATTTTGAAGGGGACTGCCCAGAAAATTTGACAAAAAATCTTAAAAATATTTTGTTCCCAGATTTTGATGCAGATTTATGGAGAATCGATCCACAAATCGTTTAAGGTATTCCGTTCAAGAATCGGATGAATATTTCCTAAGATATGGCCTTCGCAGTGGGTCATATGGGGCTCCCCATGCATTTTGCACATTTTGAAGGGGACAGCCCAGAAAATTTGACAAAAAATCTTAAAAATATTTTGTTCCCAGATTTTGATGCAGATTTATGAAGAATCGATCCACAAATCGTTTAAGGTATTCCGTTCAAGAATCGGATGAATATTTCCTAAGATATGGCCTTCGCAGTGGGTCATATGGGGCTCCCCATGCATTTTGCACATTTTGAAGGGGACAGCCCAGAAAATTTGACAAAAAATCTTAAAAATATTTTGTTCCCAGATTTTGATGCAGGTTTATGAAGAATCGATCCACAAATCGTTTAAAGTATTCCACTCAAGAATCGGATGAATATTTCCTAAGATATGGCCTGCGCAGTGGGTCATATGGGGCTCCCCATGCATTTTGCACATTTTGAAGGGGACAGCCCAGAAAATTTGACAAAAAATCTTAAAAATATTTTGTTCCCAGATTTTGATGCAGATTTATGGAGAATCGATCCACAAATCGTTCAAGGTATTCCGTTCAAGAATCGGATGAATATTTCCTAATATATGGCCTTCGCAGTGGGTCATATGGGGCTCCCCATGCATTCTGCACATTTTGAAGGGGACAGCCCAGAAAATTTGACAAAAAATCTTAAAAATATTTTGTTCCCAGAATTTGATGCAGATTTATGGAGAATCGATCCACAAATCGTTTAAGGTATTCCGTTCAAGAATCGGATGAATATTTCCTACGATATGGCCTTCGCAGTGGGTCATATGGGGCTCCCCATGCATTCTGCACATTTTGAAGGGGACAGCCCAGAAAATTTGACAAAAAATCTTACAAATATTTTGTTCCCAGAATTTGATGCAGGTTTATGGAGAATCGATCCACAAATCGTTTAAGGTATTCCGTTCAAGAATCGGATGAATATTTCCTAAGATATGGCCTTCGCAGTGGGTCATATGGGGCTCCCCATGCATTTTGCACATTTTGAAGGGGACAGCCCAGAAAATTTTACAAAAAATCTTAAAAATATTTTGTTCCCAGATTTTGATGCAGATTTATGAAGAATCGATCCACAAATCGTTTAAGGTATTCCGTTCAAGAATCGGATGAATATTTCCTAAGATATGGCCTTCGCAGTGGGTCATATGGGGCTCCCCATGCATTTTGCACATTTTGAAGGGGACAGCCCAGAAAATTTGACAAAAAATCTTAAAAATATTTTGTTCCCAGATTTTGATGCAGATTTATGGAGAATCGATCCACAAATCGTTTAAGGTATTCCGTTCAAGAATCGGATGAATATTTCCTAAGATATGGCCTTCGCAGTGGGTCATATGGGGCTCCCCATGCATTTTGCACATTTTGAAGGGGACAGCCCAGAAAATTTGACAAAAAATCTTAAAAATATTTTGTTCCCAGATTTTGATGCAGGTTTATGAAGAATCGATCCTCAAATCGTTTAAAGTATTCCACTCAAGAATCGGATGAATATTTCCTAAGATATGGCCTGCGCAGTGGGTCATATGGGGCTCCCCATGCATTTTGCACATTTTGAAGGGGACAGCCCAGAAAATTTGACAAAAAATCTTAAAAATATTTTGTTCCCAGATTTTGATGCAGATTTATGGAGAATCGATCCACAAATCGTTTAAGGTATTCCGTTCAAGAATCGGATGAATATTTCCTAAGATATGGCCTACGCAGTGGGTCATATGGGGCTCCCCATGCATTCTGCACATTTTGAAGGGGACAGCCCAGAAAATTTGACAAAAAATCTTAAAAATATTTTGTTCCCAGATTTTGATTCAGATTTATGGAGAATCGATCCACAAATCGTTTAAGGTATTCCGTTCAAGAATCGGATGAATATTTCCTAAGATATGGCCTTCGCAGTGGGTCATATGGGGCTCCCCATGCATTCTGCACATTTTGAAGGGGACAGCCCAGAAAATTTGACAAAAAATCTTAAAAATATTTTGTTCCCAGAATTTGATGCAGATTTATGGAGAATCGATCCACAAATCGTTTAAGGTATTCCGTTCAAGAATCGGATGAATATTTCCTACGATATGGCCTTCGCAGTGGGTCATATGGGGCTCCCCATGCATTCTGCACATTTTGAAGGGGACAGCCCAGAAAATTTGACAAAAAATCTTAAAAATATTTTGTTCCCAGAATTTGATGCAGATTTATGGAGAATCGATCCACAAATCGTTTAAGGTATTCCGTTCAAGAATCGGATGAATATTTCCTACGATATGGCCTTCGCAGTGGGTCATATGGGGCTCCCCATGCATTCTGCACATTTTGAAGGGGACAGCCCAGAAAATTTGACAAAAAATCTTAAAAATATTTTGTTCCCAGAATTTGATGCAGATTTATGGAGAATCGATCCACAAATCGCTTAAGGTATTCCGTTCAAGAATCGGATGAATATTTCCTAAGATATGGCCTTCGCAGTGGGTCATATGGGGCTCCCCATGCATTTTGCACATTTTGAAGGGGACAGCCCAGAAAATTTTACAAAAAATCTTAAAAATATTTTGTTCCCAGATTTTAATGCAGATTTATGAAGAATCGATCCACAAATCGTTTAAGGTATTCCGTTCAAGAATCGGATGAATATTTCCTAAGATATGGCCTTCGCAGTGGGTCATATGGGGCTCCCCATGCATTTTGCACATTTTGAAGGGGACAGCCCAGAAAATTTGACAAAAAATCTTACAAATATTTTGTTCCCAGATTTTGATGCAGATTTATGGAGAATCGATCCACAAATCGTTTAAGGTATTCCGTTCAAGAATCGGATGAATATTTCCTAAGATATGGCCTTCGCAGTGGGTCATATGGGGCTCCCCATGCATTTTGCACATTTTGAAGGGGACAGCCCAGAAAATTTGACAAAAAATCTTAAAAATATTTTGTTCCCAGATTTTGATGCAGATTTATGGAGAATCGATCCACAAATCGTTTAAGGTATTCCGTTCAAGAATCGGATGAATATTTCCTAAGATATGGCCTTCGCAGTGGGTCATATGGGGCTCCCCATGCATTTTGCACATTTTGAAGGGGACAGCCCAGAAAATTTGACAAAAAATCTTAAAAATATTTTGTTCCCAGATTTTGATGCAGATTTATGGAGAATCGATCCACAAATCGTTTAAGGTATTCCGTTCAAGAATCGGATGAATATTTCCTAAGATATGGCCTTTGCAGTGGGTCATATGGGGCTCCCCATGCATTCTGCACATTTTGAAGGGGACAGCCCAGAAAATTTGACAAAAAATCTTAAAAATATTTTGTTCCCAGATTTTGATGCAGATTTATGGAGATTCGATCCACAAATCGTTTAAGGTATTCCGTTCAAGAATCGGATGAATATTTCCTAAGATATGGCCTTCGCCTTAAAACATTAAGTAAACATCGTTTTCTAATTTTTCGATTTTTTTCCTAGGGGTACCCCTATAAAATTGTGCGTTTTCCCAATTTCCCCACTTTTGCTCCTTCCGATGGCCATAGCTCTGCCAATTCGTATCCGATCAGGAAATAAAGTACCATATTGTAATCAGCAAACCCAGAAGCGACTTTCCTGGTGGAACCTTAAGTCGGAACTAGTTCCGTTTTTAATTGGGGTGGGAATAGTTTTACTTGGGCAGATGTCAGCTCAGTGATGCCGGTCTAAGAAACATTTAAACGAGGGCGGGCAAAATAATGACAAAATAAACGCATTTTTTTAAACATTAGTCGTTTATTATAAAGCTACTGAAAGTAATCGTGTTCCACTGCCTGCAAAATAGAACAAAATTATACTAGCACTTGACAATAACATGTGACTAACCTCACTGGCCTTTAATCTGTTTTTGGGATTGTATACCACAAGATTGGACACCAGATTGATTTCTACGGCGTGGGTGCAGCTGGGGAACAGGTTGTCCCAGTGGATTCCCACGGAGTTTGGAAATCTAACGGGATGAAGATATGAAAATCGCATGACGACGTAATGTACTTGCCATCACTCACCTTATCTTACTATAGTCCGGCAGTGAAGTTAACTCTGGCCACTGATTCAGACGGGGACTTCCCAAGGTCCGGATAATGATGGCCAACTGCTCGATGTCGGTTGTTCCCGCAAACAAGGGAACTCCTCGAAGCATCTCCGCCACCACGCAGCCTAAAAACAGCCTTATTAAAATATGTATCTTTACAGAAGAAAGCATTCACTGACCAGCTGCCCACATGTCAACTGCTGTGCCATATTTCTGGCTACCCCAGAGGATCTCTGGAGCTCGATACCACCTGGTCGACACTTGGGGAGAATACAACCGCGATTCTTCGTCGGGAAAGTACAACCGAGCCAGACCAAAATCGGCTATCTTCAACATATCCGCATCCGAAATTAATAAGTTTGCCGGCTTTATATCTCTGTGCATGAGGCCGGCTTCATGGAGATAGGCGATACCCTTGAACATTTGGTGGGCGAATTTCCGGACCTGCTGGCGGCTTAAGGGATTCACCTCGCTTTTCAAACGACTGTACAGGGTGTCTGGTTGATACTCCAACACCAAGGAGAGTCCAGTCAGATCCGGGTATATGTCAATAATATCCAAGATCTAGTAGAAAATTATGACTGTAATTTATGTATCGAGTGAAAGGTAAACTTACGTATTCCGATTTGCACAGCTGCAGAGTCTTAATTTCCCTGAGTGTATTCAAGGCTATGTTTCCGAATTTGTTTTTCAGTGCAACCTTTTTGATGGCCACCTCCTTGTTGCGCTGCAAATCGATGGCCTTAAACACGCATCCATGGACTCCCTCGCCGATTTTCTCGAGCATTTTATAACGACTTGGTGCATAGTCCTCCATTCTGTATACTGAAAATTTTCTTTCATTGAATTGGATAATGGCCACTGGGCTCTAAGCCATGGCAACGGCCACAACAAACGCCAACTGGCAAGCAGCTGATGTATCCACCTGTTGCCTGCTGCTCCGGGTTGTTTGTGCGCTTACCCACCCCTTCCGAGGGGGTGGATGTCCTAGGCCAAGGGAGCTGTCAAGCTTTCGGTTCGGGGACATGCGCACTTCCGCCCTCGGATTCCTCCTGTCAGCCAAGTGTCAAGTCGGGGGGATACATAATTTTTCGGACCCTCGCAACGGCAAAAGTATCGCTCGGAGAATAAAATTAATAAAAACGTTTAAAAATGGCAGCGATTGTTAAATAATTTGCACCGAGTAGGACACACTTAGCTGGTGGGTTATGCCAAGTGACAAAAGTGGAGATTTTAGTGAGAAGACCGTGATTGTTTGGTAAAAAGGTTGGAGAGGCTGATAAATTATGTATGGCGGCGTTGAAGCATAGAAAATGACTTTCTAATGACCAAATGCGACTGTAATTTGAAGCAATTTCGCTGCAACTGGCCTCAGCCTTGTTCCTTTTCAAATTGCATGCGAACTTTCAACAAAATACACGCCTCCTTGGACGCAGCCTTGTCTGCGAAGGCCTCGGGCACCTCCGCCCATTTAGAGCCACCACCCACAGCAAGCCACCTTCCCACCCACTGCTGCAACTCCAAGTTCACGTCCTCGAATTGCTTTGCTAACGTTCAGACTTGTTTTGCAGGCCACGCGGTCAACATGCATCGACCGAATTGGATGCCCCTCGTCAGCCAGCTCTTCCTGGTTCTGCTGATCTTCGCGAATGGCCAGAGCGTCTGGGGCAGGACTGCCAAGCGGTCAGATGTCTATATCGCTGGCTTCTTTCCGTATGGGGACGGCGTGGAAAACTCGTACACTGGTCGCGGGGTTATGCCCAGCGTAAAGCTGGCCCTGGGACATGTCAACGAGCACGGCAAGATATTGGCCAACTACAGACTGCACATGTGGTGGAACGACACGCAGGTGAGTGGTAACTAGGGGATTTAATCGCTCTAGGATAGTAATTCACAATTTATTTTCTTCATCTTTTCCAGTGCAATGCCGCCGTGGGTGTAAAGTCCTTCTTTGACATGATGCACTCTGGTCCCAACAAGGTGATGCTCTTTGGAGCAGCCTGCACCCACGTCACTGATCCGATTGCCAAGGCCAGCAAGCACTGGCATCTCACCCAGCTCAGCTACGCTGACACCCATCCTATGTTCACCAAGGATGCGTTTCCAAACTTCTTTCGGGTGGTCCCTTCCGAGAATGCCTTTAATGCGCCACGCCTGGCTCTCCTCAAGGAATTCAACTGGACGCGGGTAGGCACTGTGTACCAGAATGAGCCGCGGTATTCCCTGCCCCATAATCACATGGTGGCCGACTTGGATTCCATGGAGGTGGAGGTGGTGGAGACCCAGAGCTTTGTAAACGATGTAGCCGAGTCCTTGAAGAAGTTAAGGGAAAAGGATGTGAGAATCATTATGGGCAACTTCAATGAGCACTTTGCAAGGAAAGCCTTCTGTGAGGCCTACAAGTGAGTTGGTTTTTCTTGGAGGGAAGTAAGAAATTTAAAATAATTATTGCCCATTATCAGACTGGATATGTATGGTCGAGCCTACCAGTGGCTAATCATGGCAACGTACTCCACCGAGTGGTGGAATGTGACCCAGGACAGCGAATGCACCGTAGAAGAGATATCCACGGCTCTGGAGGGCGCTATTCTGGTGGATCTACTGCCTCTGTCCACGAGTGGCGACATCACAGTGGCGGGAATTGTACGTATATAAAATTTTCATATCGAAATTGGTCTTGAAATATCGTTGGACAGACTGCTGATGAATACCTGGTGGAATACGACCGTCTGAGAGGCACCGAGTACTCCCGGTTTCACGGGTATACCTACGATGGAATCTGGGCAGCCGCTCTGGCTATACAATATGTGGCCGAGAAACGTGAAGATCTTCTGAGCCACTTCGACTACCGCGTCAAGGACTGGGAGAGTGTATTTCTGGAGGCCCTGCGGAATACCTCCTTCGAGGGAGTGACGGTATGCTTGCAATCATAGTTGCATAAACGATATTAATTAAATATATATTTTAGGGACCTGTTCGCTTTTACAATAACGAGCGGAAGGCCAACATTTTGATAAACCAATTTCAGTTGGGCCAAATGGAGAAAATTGGCGAATACCACTCCCAGAAATCGCATTTGGATCTGAGTCTTGGCAAGCCTGTTCGATGGGTGGGCAAGACCCCACCCAAGGACAGAACTCTGATTTATATAGAACACAGCCAGGTTAATCCCACCATTTACATAGTATCGGCCAGTGCTTCGGTTATAGGTGTGATTATAGCCACGGTGTTTCTGGCCTTCAACATCAAGTACCGCAACCAAAGGTGACATATTCTACCATGATTATAAAAAAATATTAATTTTTATTGGTTTTTTTTAGGTATATCAAAATGTCTAGCCCGCATCTGAACAACCTTATCATAGTTGGCTGTATGCTGACCTATTTGAGCATTATTTTCCTGGGTCTGGACACCACCTTGAGTAGTGTTGCTGCTTTTCCGTACATTTGCACGGCCAGAGCCTGGATATTAATGGCAGGCTTCAGTCTTAGTTTTGGTGCCATGTTCTCGAAAACCTGGAGAGTCCACTCTATTTTCACCGACCTGAAGTTGAACAAGAAAGTAATAAAGGACTATCAGCTGTTTATGGTTGTGGGTGTCCTGCTGGCCATAGACATAGCCATAATAACCACCTGGCAGATAGCGGATCCTTTCTACAGAGAAACGAAGCAGTTGGAACCGAGGGTAACTACTTGCATTTGATTACGATAAATATGTAATATATATATCTGTGTACTTTGTAGCACCATGAGAACATTGATGACGTCTTGGTGATTCCTGAAAACGAATACTGTCAATCCGAGCACATGACCATTTTCGTGAGCATTATCTATGCCTACAAAGGCCTCCTACTGGTGGGTAGCTCATTATTTCAACTATATGTTAGGCTCTTTTACTATATAATTAACATATTCTAGGTCTTTGGTGCATTTTTGGCCTGGGAAACACGCCATGTTTCCATACCCGCATTGAACGATTCCAAGCACATTGGTTTCTCGGTCTACAATGTTTTCATCACCTGCTTGGCTGGAGCGGCTATATCTTTGGTTCTTTCGGATCGCAAGGATTTAGTTTTTGTCTTACTCTCGTTTTTTATCATTTTTTGTACGACAGCCACTTTGTGTTTGGTGTTCGTACCGAAAGTAAGACTGGTAGTAAGGAAGTTTTGTAGTTTTTGTAGCTGTTATACATTGTAAACTCGTTGTTGTTGTTTTGCAGTCTGGTGAGGATCCGATCGGCTTGATTATATAATATACCACACCGATCGGACCTCATTGTCGTTACTTTACATCACATTTGCTACATTTAATACAGAAACAACAAGTACTCGATATTTCAAAACAGTTCTCCAAACACTACAGACTAACTATAACCTTAGAAATTCCAAAAACCTTTCTATCCTCAAACAGTGGCAAGTTTCTAGAGTGATTTCTATATGCTTGCTGCTGCCTATTTTCCCCATCTGTTCTATCCGTAGATTTGCTTTCCTATGTGTATCCAAAGTGCTGAAACATTTCCGTTTAAAAATTCAAAAATGTACAATTTTTCAGCTGGTGGAGCTGAAGAGAAATCCCCAGGGTGTGGTGGACAAGAGGGTGCGAGCCACTCTGAGGCCCATGTCCAAAAACCGGCGGGACTCTTCCGTTTGCGAGCTAGAGCAGCGCCTCCGGGATGTGAAGAACACAAACTGCCGCTTCCGCAAGGCTCTAATGGAAAAGGAGAACGAGCTGCAGGCCCTGATCCGCAAAATAGGGCCGGAGGCTCGGAAGTGGATTGACGGCGTAACCTGCACCGGAGGTGGGGGCTCCAACGGCGCAAGTGAGCTTGAGCCCATCCTAAGCGATGACATCGCCAGATTGTCGGCTCCTCCGGTGAGGAGGGAAATGCCAAGCACTACAGGTAAGCTATGAACGAAGGAGGTTTCCCTACCGATGTGTTCATGTTATTTGTCATAGAAGTTACTGAACTGACATCCGTGGATAGCGTAACCTCCACCCACGTGGATATGGACAACTCCTTCGTATCTGTACAGTCGACTGCCGTGGCTCCCTCCTTGCCTCCGTAAGATACTAGATCTAAATCTGATTTTCCATATCTAATATGAATCTTTTCTGTAGGAAAAAGAAAAAACAGTCTATTGTGGAACACCATTCTCATGGCCCAGCTGCCACCATGATGCAACCCATTCAGCAGCAGCTGCAACAGCATCTGCAGCAGCAGCAGCAAATGCAACAGCAACACCAGCAGCAGCAACACCAACAAATGCAGCAACAGCAGCACCAGCAACAGCATCACCGCCATTTGGAGAAACGAAACTCGGTGTCGGCCCAAACGGATGACAATATTGGAAGCATAACCAGCACTGCCGGAAAAAGGAGTACGAGCGGGGACTGCCCCAATCTCCGGGAGCGGCGCCAGTCCAACGCGTCCCGGCACTACGACAGTGGCAGTCAAACACCAACGGCCAGGCCCAAGTACAGTAGTTCGCACCGAAACTCCTCCACGAACATTTCCACCTCCCAGTCCGAGCTGAGCAACATGTGCCCGCATGTGTCCAAGCCCAGTACTCCGGGGGTGATGAAGAGTAAGTTTTTAAAACTAACTTTAGAGACTTTTCACTCATCGACATTCCTTTGTACCTTTAGCTCCCACTACTTCCGACCATCGTCGCACCAGTATGGGCTCCGCTCTTAAGTCCAACTTCGTGGTCTCCCAGAGCGACCTCTGGGACACACACACGCTCTCCCACGCCAAGCAGCGCCAATCGCCGCGGAACTATGCCAGTCCCCAGCGCTGCACGGAGCACCATGGTCACAGCATTGGCATGGCCTACGACCCCAACACCACCTCGCCGATCCAGCGGTCCGTGTCTGAGAAGAATCGAAACAAGCACCGGCCGAAGCCGCAAAAGGGCACCGTCTGCCAGAGCGAGACGGACAGCGAGCGGGAGCGGGACCCTCCGCCGCAGATCATCAGGGCGGAGCAGTGCGCTGTGCCCCGGAAGCTGAGCCGCAACTCAAACATTCAGTACGCTGCCCACCACCACAGCTCGCCGAACGTGGCGCCGGCGGAGAAGCAGAGGGGCAAGCAGCGCGGAGGCAAGCACGAGAGCAGCAGCATCTTCGGGGCCAGTAGCGAGACAGAACTCCTCGAGGGCGAGACGGCAATCCTGCCCATCTTTCGGAAACTGCTCACCGAGAAGAGCCCCAACTATCGGGGCCGCAGTGTTGTGGGCCAGAGCTGTCCGAATATATCCATAAAATGCGATATCGTCGAGTACTTGTAGGGGGATTGATTATGTAATAGCCGAGAAACTCCTATTCGTTAGATCCAGTTAAAGTGTAAAGACTATCCTTGTTTTTCGCTCGTTATGCATCTACATTTCTAGGTGAGGTGGCGACACACCGTTTTAGAGAACTAGTAGCAAATGACATGAGATTTGTTAGTTGACAAATAAATTTAAATCCTATTACAAAAGTTTTACTTTTTAAAGGTATAAGATGGTCTTGGGAGCAGAGAAAAGCAGCACAAGACATTACTTACTCCCCAACAAGATATAAAAAACATTACGATTCTCACTGTGGACAAGCAAATACGGCAAATTTAATTTATTTCAAAGTTTATAGTTATGTGACCGAGACGTGTGATCTATTGCAGGGCAATACGCCGGAAATGATTGTTTAGAGGACCCTCGTCCGAATAGCCAGCGATTTCCTGGGGCACAATTCCAGACTCCTCGATGGAGGTGCAGGGTCGGCACATGCACTCCAGGGGCGCCTTGGTCAGGACCTTCTTGAACTTCCGCTCGCCGGGCTTCACCTTGGGGCAGAAAAGCGAGACGGCGGCCTCACGTTCACCGGACTCCTGGCAGCACATGCACGAGCGCTCCATCTGCCAGATTTTGCTGCCGGAGACCTAAAAGATTCGGTTAAAATGAAATGGTACCCAACAGAAATATCTAGACTCGACCTGTATGTAACTGGCACAGCGACCCACGCAGGCGAACGAGGGTATGGGCTTGGGCACACAGCCTGGATACTGCAGGACATGTATCACTGGTGTCACCTGGCAGTCGTCCCCCAGATGCGTGATATCTGGAATAAAGATAAGACTCTAATAACCCTCCGTGTTCCAACGCAACAAGACTGTCTGTAGTTTACCATTGTCAGAAGAAGAGACCGCATTATCCGCCTGGGCGGAGCAAAGCTTCAGCAGACTGACCAGGACGCAGTAGAGCAGGATCAGGACGAAGAGCTTGTTGTTCTCGTGGCGGAGCAGGTGGCGCAGCATCGTGGAATGGAAGTCGGCGGCAGCAGCCTTCGGAACTTTATACCAACGACCCGCGCCGGAGGACGCCGCAGAAATGGCTCTCTCCTCGGCTGCGTGAATTATGGCCTAATAAAGCTCGCAGCCGGCCAAAACCTTTTTGCCGTTTTGCCTAGTAATTGCGAACACGAAAAGGGCATTTCCCCCGCGGCGCAATCTTTCTTTATTTCTCCATGCACAAGCTTAATAACTAACAGCAATCAGAGCCAGACTGGCCAAAAGCAGCAGAAGTAAGGAAGTGGCCTGAACGGAACTAGAGCTGTTTCGCTTTGCCAGGAAGTTCACCAGACGACCAAGTCGTTGCTCGGCCCACTGCAGATTGGCCTCCACCGAATCCAAGGACTTCGACAGCACCGTGGCCGACTGGCCGAAAAGCTGCTGGCTATTCTGGTAGAAGTCCTTAAAGAGCTGCTGCTGTTCTCTGGTGGTAAAGTACTCTGCCATGTCGCTGAGAACCTCGGCTGTATCCGACCAGCTATTTAAGCTGCAATATGAAACAATTTGTTAAAAACATTTCTTTTCTTTCACAAAACTCTCCAACGTACCTTAGAGCCAGCTCAGTAATATTCGCGGTGATCATCTTAAAGATAGGCTCAACCAAATCCGGATTCTCCTCGTATAAAGTGGCTATGCCTACCTTTTTCATCTTCACAGTGGTGGCATATTCCAGGATAAATTTGTAGTAGTGCGTTTCATAGTCCCTGGTGCAGCTCATGGCAGTCCATAGAAGTTTCTTCTCACTGGGACGGGTTTCCTCCAAAAATAACTTCCAAACCTGCATTAAACCGGAAAACTGGCTACTTCCGGCGCAGTAAAAGGTCTGTCTGTAGTCCGGCGTAGGTTTCTTTGGTTCAGAGGCAGTGATCATATGGTGGATCTGGTCCCTGCACCCTCTGGCCTGATACCGGCATAGCCATGCAACCACCTTGTTTCGATTGGCCACGTCCAAGGGAGTGTCTTCCGCTTCATTCCAATCCACTCCCAAATTCTCAAAAACAGCCTCTGCGTTATCCTCGAGATAGCTCCGGAAACTGGGCAACTGCTCGGGTGTAAGTCGCTTGGCCACCAATTGGAGGTTCTCGAAGAAGGCATACCAAGGAACATAGTGCACTTCGGTACTTAAGTATTCCAGAAACTCAAACACCTCGGAGTAATCCAGATATCCCACTCGGGCGAAGTTAAAGAAATCATCGATCATTTGGGCGCGGTTCTCGACGGGAATCCCGCTATGATTCCGGGCACTGAGAGCCACTTGGAGATTGGCCATCAGGGTTGTGTCGTAGAGGACCCTTTGGTAGTTGGACTGACGCAGATTTAGCACAATCCAGTCGATGGGATCATCAAACTCCAACTGGAGTATATCTACCACTTTGTGCAAGTAGGAAGAGGGAGTAACGTATTCAAAATTCGGCTCCAGGTTCGTAGCATAGGTAATGGGCACTGTGTACTTGAGGGTAGCATTGCTGCCATCCCCCGGGCTCAGGAGGAATCTCATCTGCCCGATATGGACTATGTGATTCTGACGGGTCACGTTCACGATCAGCATGGGGTAACCGACTTGCTCTGTGTAATCAGCAAAGAAGTGCTCCAGATTCACTGCCGGGTTAGCAGGCCAGTTCGCATACAAATAGAAAAACAAGTTTCTAGGCTCTGTGTTGAACGATTGGCTAAAATACAAATGCTTTTAAAGTCATGAACCGGATCTTTAGCCACCAACCACAAACTTACTATTGTCTCAAATAATCCCGGATAGCAGCGTTGAAGTTTTCCTCTCCCATGCAATTCCTCCACATCCTGACAATGCAGGCTCCCTTCGCGTAGGCGATGGCACTGAACTTGGAGGCAATCTGGGAGGGGGTTTGTATTTCTGACTCGGGACTAGTCATGGGTTGGGTGCTGTTCTTGGCATCCGTTGCAAAGATTAATTGCATTTGTCGGACTACAAACTGTTCGTCCAGGTGGTACTCCGGATAAAGCTTCAGGGATTCTGTTGTAAGATTCGTAGCCAAATTTTTTCAAAAGTATCTCACCTGATGGGCCATAAAGTACTCGTAGTAACGGGCAAAGGCTTCGTTTAGCCAGAAGTAACTCCACCAGGAGAAGGTTACACTGTCCCCAAACCACATGTGGGACGTCTCATGGGCAATGATCCGTATGGCGAACTCTTTGTCAGACCAGTCATCAGTGTAACCGGGAATCCGTACCAGAACATTATCACTATCAGGGAAGAAACTCTACTGTCAAATATCATGCCTTTATTTTTGTAGTTGGCTTACAAACCTGTATATAATGAGACCCCAATTTTCCATTCCGTTGTGTGGAAACCGAGGAGAACTGGCATATTGCAGAACCTCGTTTCCCAGCTCGGCATAAGGAAGAGCAAACAATGTGTTGTAGGCCTGAATAACCCTTTGGCCTACCTCATAGCTGAACTCTGTGTTGTTGTAGAACTCAGGGCGGGAAAGAACTGAGAAATCACTTGTATTTCCGCGAGCTGTATAGCTGGCAACCATGAAAGCCAGAAGATAAGTGGACATTGCCGGAGTTTCTTCAAAACTATCTATAAACCGATTTGATCTGAAAAAAGAATTAACACTATCTTTCATAACGCACAAAGGAATAACTGCTCACCCCGATGGAGTGGTTTTCGTCACTTTGGTGTTAGCAATGGCCTGGTAACCATTTGGTCTGTCTATCTGAAGCTGGAACTTGGCCTTTAGAGCGGGCTCGTCGAAGCAGGGAAACACGTAGCGAGCATTGATTCTCTGCATCTGGGTGAGAGCCAGCCACCTGGTGGCGTTCGTCTCCGCCTCCACATAGCTGGCGGAGAACAATCCGGCCATGTCTGATCGAATTCGCCCGGTGTACTTGAACTCCAGGGCATAGTCCCTGCGCACCTCAAGGGGCTGCGTCAGTGGAACTGTCACCTGTTGTGTGGCAGCCTCGTAAATCAACCGGCTGATATCAATGGCCTCCACTAGCAAGCCACCTGTAGGGCCTCCGCCGACGTCCACCAAACGGCATGACGATATCTCGAGCGTATCTGCGTGCAAGGTGATATTTTCGATTGGCGTGGGTCCGACCCCCCGCACAGTTATGCTCACTTCGCCGTCGAAAAGAGTTGGGTCGGTAGAGTCTCGGAGCACCCCAATGGTCAGGTTATAGTGGGATGGCACAACACTACCATCCAGCCTGTAGTCCAAGCCCAAAACAGAGCAAATAAACAAAACAACCAGTGGCCAAACGGCCACAGAACTGGATGGCGAACTGGTCATGCCGGCAGTGTTTCCAGTACTGTAAAGATCGGCAAAATCGGAGGCGTAAATAAATAAAAGCGTCGCTCCGTGGCGAAAAAAATTCTGATGATTAGATTATATATTCAGCTTGCGATTAAAGCGGGAATCACACCTCGCTCCGGTCGCTCTCTGTTATTTGTTATCAACAAATGTTTACCAACTTATCACCGTGTGAAATTAAGTGGTTGGTTGGAGATATAATGGGGCACCAAGACATACATCTCATAATTCGATTTAGGAGGGCTTTTGAAGCATATGATAAAAGATCAGAAACTTGTAACGCTTTTAAAAATGGCTCAACTTTGTCTCAGTTCAACTAAACTCCTTCGGAGAAGTGATAGTTTGATCCTTGTAAGTTTCTCCAAAAGTGAGTAAAAACTGAGTCACCATGCCAAAATAAAATAATGCCCATTCTTGGAATGATTAAAGACCATTATAAATCGTTATTAAAAATATATCGCCTGTTAGGTCTCCAAAAGTATAAAGTCCACTTTTACCACAGTTGGAAGAAGAAACTTGGAAGAAGAAAATGATATATGGAGGTGATAAGCCTTTTAGTGCTATGCGAGTAGGAACACCATTTTGAACCTAATACGCCTGGTGAATCGAACAAATTCCGAGAAGTAATAAAATTAGTGCCGATGTTTTGGCATCTCACAAAATGACCTAATATGATCCTGATATCTTGGATTCTAAAGTTTAGTTCTGTTAACTTATTTCGAACAATAGTTTTCAACTATGATACGAATCGATGGCTTTACGACGATTGTATGATTGATTGGGAAATACGCACTTCAGCTCCATGAAATCCAGTAAAGATTGTGAACTGAATCATCCCCAAAGGTAATAGGACTAATCAGATTGTAAAAGTGGTTGTCAAGAAGGCTGTTTGAGCTTAGGCATGATCGATTTGGCCAATATTCTGAATATACGACTCCGGGCTTATCTACGTTTTTATAGTTTTTTATTTTACGAGGTACAAATGCTTTATGGGCTTGAGGTCCCGCGTGACCCACTTGCACCCGCTCTTCAGTTCTGCTTAATGGCGCAGGATGGTAGCCAGAGCCACCAGGACAAGGCTCAGAGCACTCAAGGCACTCGCAATGGTGCCTCCGTTGCGTCCAGCCAGGTAGCTGCGGAACACGCCCAGCTTGGCCTGCGCCCACTCCAAGTTCTCGGCCACGGTGGCTTCCGCCGCAGTGAGGGTGGCCTGGGAGGTTCCGAACTTGGATCCACTGTTCTTGTTGAACGTCTGGAGATCCGCGTACTGTTGTTCGGTGGTAAAGCGGGCGGCGATGTTTGAGATAACAGTGGCCACTGCGGAGTAGCCCCCCATGCTGTTTAAAAAAAACAAATTTCAAATCAATGAACGGAACCAGATTAGTGAAAACAGGGTAACTTACGCTTGAGCCAATTCCTCGAACTTCTGGGTGACCAAGGCAAACACAGGGCTCACATTCTCGTTATTCTCAGTGTAGAGAGTGGCCAGCACCGAGGACTTGTCCTGGCGACGGATCTCATCGCTAAGGATTAGGTTGAACACTCGCTCAATGAGGGCCTGAGTCTTCACGCAGCCGAAAGAGTTCTGTAGCAGAGTCTCCTCCGTGGCCACAGTCTCGACCTTAAACTTATTGTAGAGGGCCTCGAACTCAGTGGAACCGCCCTCGCGCAGACCCACACAGTAGACTGTGGCGCGGATGTTCTTGGGGACGGTGGACAGGGACTGGAAATAGGTCTTGGCCCGACTGATGCAGTCGGCACTGCCGTATCGGCAGGCCCAGGACAGGACCTTGGTGCGCAGGTAGATGTCTAAGGCAGTGTCCGTCTCCGTCTCATTGAACCCAAGCTGGTTGTAGGCCTTCTGGGTAAGGGATTGGATGTAGCTGTTAAAGTTGGCGGTGTCGTTACCCAGACGGATGGTCAGGAAGCTGAATCCGTTGAATGCGGATGTCCAGGGGATGTAATGGGTCTCCGTCTCCAGGTATTCGATTATATTCAGAGTAATGTTGTAGGGCAGGAGTCCAGCCCTGGCTAGATTGAAGAGATCGTCCACCACCTGGGCTCGGTTGTTCTCGTGAATTTTGCCCCAGTTCTCGGTAAACAACTGTTCACGAATAGCTTGCCAGAGGCTATACGTGTAGTTTGCTCGGTAATAACCTGTTTGCTGAAGGTTCACAATAATCCATTTAGGGGCCTGATTAAAGTTTACAAACACGGGAGTGGTGGGTCCCAGGATGAATTTCGGAGTAACATTAGTGAATTGGGCATCCAAATCGGTGGTGTAAGAAATGGGCACAGTGTATGTCAGACTGGCGTTTGAGCCGTCGTTTTCCTTCAGGAGGAACCGCTGCTGTGTGAAGCGGATGCCGTTTCCATTCTCTGCAACATTGATTAGGGGATAGCCCACCTGGGTGGTGAAGCTTTCGAATATGTCCTTAGAGCTGGCATTATAGCTGGAATTGGGCCAGGTGTTTTGCCATTCCGCCAGAAGGTACTCGGGACGCGATGGCTTATAAGAGCTAAATAATTAGGTATTTACATTTATAATAAATTAAAATTATTGAATAAAATCAATGGCGAGAGCAACTTACTTTTTGACAAGATAGTTCTGCAGCGCTAATCGGAACTCAGTCTCGCCCATGGTGTGTTTAATCATTCGAATGAAAGTCGCGCCCTTGTTGTAGGAGATGCTATTGAACATGCGGCTCAGATGGGCGGGGGTATAAGTGTTTGGATCGGTCAGTGGATTGGTGGCATTCGTGGAGTCCATGGCCATCACAGACTGGATCTGATCTACAACGAATTGGTTCTCCAGATCCCACTTGTCCTCCGCCATGGCGGTGCCGAAGTACTGGAAGTACCGTGCGAATCCCTCGTTCAGCCAGGTGTAGCTCCACCACTCGCAGGTAACCAGGTCGCCGAACCACATGTGGGCCTGTTCGTGGGCCACCACGGCGGCGATCGCCTGGCGGGAGGCCAGGGTAGTAGCGGACTCGTCCACCAGTAGACTGCGTTCCCTGTAGGTGAGAAGACCCCAGTTCTCCATGGCACCGGCCGAGAAGTCGGGTATAGCTGCCATGTCCATCTTGTCGTTTCCGAGGGTGTAGTAGTCCAAATTCAGGTACTCGCCCATCTTCTGCAGGATCTCGATACCAACATTGTAAGGATACTGGGTCTGGGCATAGTATTCGGGGCGGGCCAGGACGCGGAACTTGTCGTCCGTGCGGGCGGCGAATTCGGAGATGATAAAGGCCACCAGGTAGGTGGACATAATGGGTGTGGTCGCAAACACATCCTCAAAATAGCCACTGTTCAGGATTGGGATGCAGATAATGTTGCTGGCTTGAAGGAAAATGCTACAAAACTTACGCTTCAGTGCTCGGGTAGGATCCAATGAGACGGGTGTTGCTGACGGAGTTGAAGGTCCTGTGGCGCTTCAGCGTGATGTTGAAGGTGGCCTTGAACTTGGGCTCATCGAAGCTGGGAAAGGCGCGGCGGGCGTGGTGTGTCTGGAACTGGGTGGATCCCAGCCATCTGGAAAGCGATTATTGAAGAAGGAATCTTTTTAGCAATTTGGATCTACGTACTTAGTAACATTGTTGTCATCCACGTAGTAGCTCTTGTAGAATCCGTGCATGTCGTCCTCCATGAGACCCGTGTAAACGAAGTGAAGGATGTACGGAGTGTTCGCTGTCAAAGTAGCCGCAGTGGTCAGCTTCACAATATCCGTGTCCGAGTTGGTCTCGTTGACGGAATTGAAGTTCGTTCCGGCCGGAGCAGCCACTCCCTGAGCGGGTTTGGCCCAGAACTCGCTCACCGAGAAGGTGAGGTTCTTCGCGTGGAGGTGTACCGAGGTGGTGTTCTCCGTTGGGACCACTTCGATGTGTACCTCACCGTCGAAGGTGAAGCGCTTGACGCCATCGGACTCCAGCAGGTACGGGCGCAGAGTGATGTTGTAGCTCACGGGAAGAATGTGGCTGGCCAGTCGGTAGTCAGCCAGCACGGTATCCAGGGTGACAGGTGGCTGGACATCATCCAGGACCAACGGGCGGGTGTCTGCTGCCACTAAGGACAGGCAGGCTGTCAAAAGGAATGCCACTCGCAGAGAGAACATTTTTTCTGGAAAAAGTATGGATTGAAGAAAATTATTACAATGTTTAACATTCTGCGAACAATTCTCGGTGTCCAATAAGTTTTTTTCCACTTTTATTCAATTAAAGTAAAATATTCAATTGCACTTATGTATTATATTTAAATGATCATGGTTATTTTACACAATCAAAATAAGGAAAACGTTTTTAAAACTTCAATCTGGCAGATATTAAAAAATATTTAATCCGAAAGTTCAAAATCATTCTTAAAAGAGGCTGGCAAATACATTTTTGCCAGGATCTGAAGGTTCTTTTTGTAGAAATCAAATTTCATCAGAACCATAAATCTTATGTAATATCCGAAGCACTCACTTTTCCAAGGGTTTCACGACGGCCCCGGAACTTGAAATTGGTTAAAGTATTTCGCAGGCCACTTGGGTCGCGATTCGGTTCGACAACTAATCGCCGTCTGGTCCGAGACCCGGTATATATGGGGATCCGGGCAGCTGATGGGGACTTTTATTATCAATGGTCTATCTACAGCCTTTACCGTTTTATTTCGTCCAGATAAAGTTTTGGCCTGGCCAACAGATTAAGCGGCGATAATGGTGTGGCGCGATAATAGTTTGTGGCGGTGATTTACGCACTCCGTCATCAGCCAATCGATGACTCTTGGGCTTTTATTTTAGATTCAATAATGGTGTCTTGAGAGAGTGGTATTTTTTGCGTTTCGTTGCCATTAGGTACAGCCTCTTCAGATGATTAGAGATCTAGAGATCTTGAGCTTGATATACTTCTTGAACTTTTTTAGTTATTTACATTTTGTTTTATTTTCAACGAAACTATTTGTGTCCAGCCATACGGAACAAGAATGCTGCTATGTATCTTTCAAGATCTGATCTTGAGTGGTTTAACAGCAACTACATCCTTTAATGTACATAACTATTTGTATATTCTGAGTAACATAGAGATCTGTAAAAGTAGATAATGGCTCTTGTTAAAAGTTCTTTAATAAAACGTACATATATAATAACATATATACATAAGTTCAACCCATTTATCACATATTCTGTGAAAAAGTTAACTTTTAGTGTGGAAAAAAAAATTGTTAAGACCCGCCAATCCAAAACAGTTCAGTGGCGAAGGATAGTAGCCAGAGCCACCAAGACTAGGCTCACGGCGCTTAGGGCACTGGCCATGGTGCCTCCGTTGCGTCCAGCCAGGTAGCTGCGGAACACGCCCAGCTTGGCCTGCGCCCACTCCAAGTTCTCGGCCACGGTGGCTTCCGCCGCAGTGAGGGTGGCCTGAGAGTTTCCGAATTTGGAACCACTGTTCTTGTTGAACGTCTGGAGATCCGCGTACTGTTGTTCGGTGGTAAAGCGGGCGGCGATGTTTGAAATGACAGTGGCCACTGCGGAGTAGCCACCCATGCTGTTTAAAAAAAAAAAACAAATTTCAAATCAATGAACGGAATCAGATTAGTGAAACCAGGGTAACTTACGCTTGAGCCAATTCCTCGAACTTCTGGGTGACCAAGGCAAACACAGGGCTCACATTCTCGTTATTCTCAGTGTAGAGAGTGGCCAGCACCGAGGACTTGTCCTGGCGACGGATCTCATCGCTAAGGATTAGGTTGAACACTCGCTCAATGAGGGCCTGAGTCTTCACGCAGCCGAAAGAGTTCTGTAGCAGAGTCTCCTCCGTGGCCACAGTCTCGACCTTAAACTTATTGTAGAGGGCCTCGAACTCAGTGGAACCGCCCTCGCGCAGACCCACACAGTAGACTGTGGCGCGGATGTTCTTGGGGACGGTGGACAGGGACTGGAAATAGGTCTTGGCCCGACTGATGCAGTCGGCACTGCCGTATCGGCAGGCCCAGGACAGGACCTTGGTGCGCAAGTAGATGTCTAAGGCTGTGTCCGTCTCCGTCTCATTAAACCCAAGCTTGTTGTAGGCCTTCTGGGTAAGGGATTGGATGTAGCTGTTGAAGTTGAAAGTGTCGTTGCCCAGACGGATGGCCAGGAAGCTAAAACCGTTGAATGCGGATGTCCAGGGGATGTAATGGGTCTCCGTCTCCAGGTACTCTATTACATCCAGAGTCAGGCTGTAGGAGATGAGTCCAGCTCGAGCCAAGTTGAAAAGATCGTCCACTATCTGGGCTCGGTTGTTCTCATGTACCCCACCCCAGCTGTTATTGGCAAGAAGAGTCTGGATAGACCGCCAGTTGTTTTCAGTGTAGTTAACGCGATAGTATCCACACTGTTGGACGTTCACTATAATCCAATCGAGAGCATGGTGGAAATTCCAAGTTTCTGCTGTGCCGTTCAGAATAAAGTTTGTCGTGGTGTTGTAAAATTTGGGACTAATGCTGTTGGTGAACGTAATAGGCACGGAGTACACTAGACTTGCATTGGATCCATCGTTTTCCTTCAGAAGAAAACGCTGCTGAGTAAAGCGCACCGACATGCGATCGCTAGAAAGCTCGGCATTTACTAGCGGATAGCCCACCTGAGTGGTGAAGCTATCAAAGATTTCCTGGGAGCTGTTTTTAAAACGATCTGGCCATGTGCCTTGCCATTCCGCAAGCAGGTTCTCGGGACGCGATGATTTATAAGAGCTTAAATGGAAAAATATAAAAAAAATGTATAAAAACATCAGAAAAAAATGTATTTTGTAAGAAACACTCACTACTTGACAAGATAGTTCTGCAGCGCCAATTGGAACTCAGTCTCGCCCATAGTGTGCTTGATCATCCGGATGAAAGAGGCGCCTTTGTTGTAGGAGATGCTATTGAACATGCGGCTCAGGTGGGCGGGGGTATATGTGTTTGGATCGGTCAGTGGATTGGTGGCATTAGTGGAGTCCATGGCCATCACAGACTGGACCTGATCAACAACGAATTGGTTCTCCAGATCCCACTTGTCCTCCGCCATGGCGGTGCCGAAGTACTGGAAGTACCGTGCGAATCCCTCGTTCAGCCAGGTGTAGCTCCACCACTCACAGGTAACCAGGTCCCCGAACCACATGTGGGCCTGTTCGTGGGCCACCACGGCGGCGATGGCCTGGCGGGAGGCCAGGGTAGTAGCGGACTCGTCCACCAGTAGACTGCGTTCCCTGTAGGTCAGAAGACCCCAGTTCTCCATGGCGCCGGCCGAGAAGTCGGGAATAGCTGCCATGTCCATCTTGTCGTTTCCGAGGGTGTAGTAGTCCAAATTCAGGTACTCCCCCATCTTCTGCAGGATCTCGATACCAACATTGTAGGGATACTGGGTCTGGGCATAGTACTCGGGGCGGGCCAGGACGCGGAACTTGTCGTCCGTGCGGGCGGCGAATTCGGAGATGATGAAGGCCACCAGGTAGGTGGACATAATGGGTGTGGTCGCAAACACGTCCTCAAAATAGCCACTGTTCGGGATAGGAATGATGATAATGTTTCTGGCTTGAAGGAAGATGCTACAAAACTTACGCTTCAGTGCTCGGGTAGGATCCAATGAGACGGGTGTTGCTGACGGAGTTGAAGGTCCTGTGGCGCTTCAGCGTGATGTTGAAGGTGGCCTTGAACTTGGGCTCATCGAAGCTGGGAAAGGCGCGGCGGGCGTGGTTGGTCTCGAACTGAGTGGATCCCAGCCATCTAAAATTGGATTATTTTTTAAGGCGTTCTTTCAGCACCATGATAAATATAAGCACTTCGTAACATTGTTGTCATCCACGTAGTAGCTCTTGTAGAACCCGTGCATGTCGTCCTCCATGAGACCCGTGTAAACGAAGTGAAGGATGTACGGAGTGTTCGCTGTCAAAGTAGCCGCAGTAGTCAGCTTCACAATATCCGTGTCCGAGTTGGTCTCGTTGACGGAATTGAAGTTCGTTCCGGCCGGAGCAGCCACTCCCTGAGCGGGTTTGGCCCAGAACTCGCTCACCGAGAAGGTGAGGTTCTTCGCGTGGAGGTGTACCGAGGTGGTGTTCTCCGTTGGGACCACTTCGATGTGTACCTCACCGTCGAAGGTGAAGCGCTTGACGCCATCGGACTCCAGCAGGTACGGGCGCAGAGTGATGTTGTAGCTCACGGGGAGGATGTGGCTGGCCAGTCGGTAGTCATCCAGCACGGTTTCCAGGGTGACAGGTGGCTGGACATCATCCAGGACCAACGGGCGGGTGTCTGCTGCCGCTAAGGATAGGCATACTGCCATAAGAAGTGTCACTCGCAGGGAAAACATATTTTGCTAAGATAAGGTAATTCTTTAAGTATTCTGAAGTTTTTATCTTTATCTCTAGTGAATCTTTATCTTTAGCAACTATTTAACGCCCGGAATTGAGCTAGTTTATAACTTACAACTTTAAAGTTTATACCTTTTGTGAAACTGAAGTACTTACTTCTCCAAAGATTTATTTTGAGCCTTCTCCCTACGATTCTATTCGTCGACTAAAGCTCTATGAACTTGTACCTGTATATATGGAGATTCTGGGTGGAAATTGGTGCTTTTTTTGCATTATCAGAGGCTTATCTACAGTCTTAAATGCTTTATTCTCCCTAGATTATGTGTTTAGAGGCGATAATCACGATAAGGATTCGCCTCGTGATTTACGCAAGTCTGCCATCGGCAACAATATAGTACACTTCGTCTGAAGTGTAGACCATGGTGCACATTGTTGTGCATTTCCAGGTGCACTTTTTTGCGATTTACTCGCTCCAATCTTATCGACCATGAGTTGCTATCTCCAAAAAGAACTTTTAATGGTCCGTTGTCAAATTGGATTGTGTGTGCTATAATCAGGAGGCTTTATCACCAATAAGATTATGCGGTAAGAACTTTAGCTTTTATAAACTTTGTAAATATTTTCACATCATATTTCCTTTAACATTACATGGTTTATGCTTTTGATCATACCAGGGATATTTTGTTGTTTTATTAATTTTAAGTAATGATTATTGCTGAAATATTTTTGCTGATTATTGAATCATATAAAATAATAAATAATGCTTTTAATCATTGTTCTATAATTTGGTAAAGTGTCAAGAAGTGGTTTTGGGTTGGCTTTAGTTGCCAAGGTTGATTACGCGCGTATTTATGATTCTCTAATGGACGGAGGACTGCTCTTGGGAAAAGACCGGAGTTTGGAAAATTTATGAGATCAGCACTCTTATCCGGCCAATACCTAGGCAGTTTTGACCACGCAGTTCACGGCCATAAAAAAAAGAAGGCGATTGTAAATTTAACAGGTATTAAATATTTTGTTTTGGAATTTATTGTGGAACAAGAGCAAATAACTATGACTAACTTAGAGGACGCTATGGATCTAGAAGAGCTTGGCGGCCAGGAAGCACAGGACGGTGGCCAACAGGGAGGCACTCAGAGCGGAGCTGCCACCGGTGCGGAAGCCGGTCATCCAGGACACCAGGGGCTCCTTGTTGGCGGTGAGCCAGTCGTTGTTGGCCTTGAAGTTGGCATCTACGCTGGTCTGCAGCGTGGTTGGAACATACTCGCTGTCCTTGACCTTTTCGACTAGATTCTGCAGAGCCTGCTGCTGGTCAGAGGACACCGCATAGGCAGAGATACCAAGAATGTCACTATACAGAGGGTTTACTCCGCCAAATCCAGAGTTGAGCTCGCCGTACGTCTCCCAGTTCTTGTCCAGGAAGTCGATGGCGGCCAGGAGACCGACCTCGCCGCGGGAGTACACCGCGCTCAGCACGGTGATACTTTCTTGGCCCCGGAGGCTGTCGTCAATACTGGTGTTCAGGAACTTTTCCAGTTGGGTGGTGCTCTGAGAGCAGCCAAGGGAGGAGATTAGGAGGCGACGCTCGGCCTGGTCGGAGGAGTTGATCAGCTTATTGAAGACAAAGTTGTATACCCTGTCGTCGGCCTTCTTCAAGCCGTTGCAGTATACCTGCGACTGCAGGTTCGGTTCGATGACTGTACCCTGATCCACCAGTGCTTCCAGCTTGGCAGTGGTCTCTGACAGGCAGCTCTCCACTCCAGCCAGGCAGGCGATGTTGATCAGGATGTTGCGGGTGTACTTAACCAAGTGCTGCTCTCCGGACAGATCTTGCACTCCGAACTTGTCGAACTGATCGCTGACCAGGTGGCTTACGTAGAACTGGAAGTTGGAGTACGAGGCGTCGCCGCTCAGGTAGCGGTTGATGAGGGTGATCACGGTGTTGGCCGCCGACCAGGGTGAGTATTGATCCTCCTTGGGCAGATAGGTCAGCAGCTGGAGCAGCGTGGAATGGGACGTGCGACCGCTGGTGGCGAAACGGTACAGGTCGTTGATCAACTGGGCGCGGTTCTCGGGAGCGATCTTGTGTGGGCGAGCCAGCAAGAAGTCGATCAGCAGCTGCCAGTTGGTCTCGTCGTAGTTGACACGGTAGTAGAAGACTTGCTTCTTGTTCAACAGAAGCCAGTTAGCGTTGTCCAAGCCGGCGTTCACGGTAATCTCTCTCTGCTTCAGCAGGTATTCGGTGGCTTCAGTGTTTCGGAAGTCGGGGTTTGAGGCATCAGCATAGTTCACCGGCACGTACCACAGCTTATCGTTGGTGTAGTCCTTGTCGTTGGTGTAGGTATCCTGGCGAATGGTGAAGGACCCATTCTCGTAATTACGGGTGACAGTCAATACAGGAACTCCACCCTGGTCGGTCCAGCTGCCCATCATCTCGGCAATGGTGGCCGGAACGGCGTAGTTCTCCTCAACGGCCGCCTTGGCGATGCCCTCGAAGAGCTTGGTGGGATTAGCAGCGGTGTATTTGCTAAAGGATAATGCAGCGATAAGTATCAAGATGCTGAATACAGTTTTATGACTTACTTGTCTACCAGGTAGTTGTGGAGACCACGCTGGAACACCTTGTTCGTGATGGCATGACGCCACATGTTCAATACTGATCCTGCCTTGGCATAAGACACGGAGTCATACAGCAGAGCGATTTCGGAAGGCTTCTGGATGAAGTAGCTCATGGGGCGGGCAGTGGCACTAGCATCATAGACCAGAGCACTCTGGTAGGAACCGGCATGGAAGGTCTGGAAGATGTCCCACTCGGGATAGGCCTACGAAATAAATCGAATAATTGTAGAGGCTATTTGCAAGCATAGAGATCAAATAAACTAACCAGATCTACAGCCAGGTTCTCGAACAGAGTGGCGAAGCCCTCCTTCAGCCACAGGTAGCTCCACCACTCGATGGCCACCAGATCGCCAAACCACATGTGGGCGTCCTCGTGGGCCTCTACGGTGGCAATGTTGGTCTGAGTGTTTATGGTGGAGTTTTCGCTGTTGTAGAGCAGGTACTCCTCACGGTAAGTGGCCAAACCCCAGTTCTCCATGGCGCCCGCGGCGAAGTCGGGGATACCAGCCTGGTCCAGCTTGGGTAGTTGGAAGGGTACGCCAAAGTAGTCGGAGAGTCGCTTCTCCACGAGCATGCCGTTAGTCAGGGCCCACTCCTGGTCTCCCAGAGTTCCCTCCCTGGAGTAGACGCGCTGGGTCAGCTGATTGAATTCGCCCTCGGTGTAGACGAACTGGGAGACGATGAAGGCCACCAGGTAGGAGGGCATGTTCACGGTCTTCTGGAAGGAGGTCACTCCAGAGCTGGTGGAAAATAATAAAAAAAAAATATTATTACTTGCACATTCATTATAATATTGAATAAAGCCTGACAGTGCCCAATTAGTAGAAAAAAGATTAAAATTTGATTTAAATGACCTAGTATTTTTATTAAAGGCTTATGTCGGCAATAAAAAAAAACTATACACTTCCTTGTTTTCAATGACTAAGGGTTTCTTTTGCCCCTTAACCAATCAAATATGGAATACTCCATATAATAACACTCAAATTTAAAAAGTGATACGTAATGGCTATAAAGTGGTTTGACGGGTCAATGGGAAATACCAGTACCATTTATTAAGGTGATAAGAATACTCGTAAGAAATTAGGTAATTTTTTTAAGTGTCCTTATGTTGTGATATGAAGCGCTATGAGTTACATATCACTCATACGCAGTGTTGGACATTACATACCTGGATGTAGCTTCATTTACAGGCATGTTGCTGATGGCATTGTAGGAGGGATCGTGCTTGATGGTGATGGTGAAGTTGGCCCGCTTGGAGGGCTCATCGTAGCAGGGGAAGGCGTGGCGAGCGTCGGTACTCTCGAACTGGGTGGTGGCCAGGTACTTGGTTTCGCCTTCGTCGGTTTCGTATGTGGACAGGTAGAAGCCTCCATTGTCCGTGCGTAGGTTGCCCTCGTAATTGATGGTCACCAGCCAGGTGGTATCTGCCGCGAAAGTCAAACCATCCTTGGAGAGAGTAAGGAACTCTCTTTCGGCCTCGTAACTGGTTTGCAAAGTGTGCAGTTCCGCATTTTCTACATTCAGCTGCTGGGCGGTGACCGTAAAGTTCTCCAGCTGGCGGGCATGAACCACAATGTTGGGAGTACTGGTCAGGACACTGACGGTGATGCCAACAACGCCCGTGAAATGGGTGTCGCCGGTGTGGACATTGGTGGTCAGGGTAATATCGTACTCCACGGGAATAGTTTCGTTGGGAAGCCGGTAGTTGACTTCGTCGGCGAGAGGAACCACTCGCTGGTTAGGATTTTCCAGGCGCTGGAATTGCTCGAGAGGCGGGAACTCACGGACGACGGCTGCCTGGATCGAGGTGGTCACCAGGAGGACCAAACACAGGGACAAGCTCCCGAACAGAACGCGACCCATGGCAAAAACGCGAAAAACTGAGTTCCAAAATCTCTTTACCGTCACTTTTAAGCGAGACCGGGCATCTTATCACTGGACATGGGACATAAAGATTAGGCCAATCTTGGCGAGCCATAAACCGCCGTTTGGCCGTAAATAACCGCTTCGATGGCTCCATATCGCGAACTAGTCCGAGAGCAAGCACAGGCTCAACAAGTTGGTAACAAGTTCCCGGCTAAGATAATGTCGAATAAGTGTGGGCTTTTCGAGATACCCACGCTGATAACAAGTCTCGAGTGCCTGGACTGCCCTTGATCCGATAAATGTGGCAGTAAGGCTCCTTAAAAACCTCCCCCAGGGGTAATTCGGAAGTATTATGGCCTAATAACTCTTTGATTAACCATTGAGAAATGCTACTATTCTCGTTAATTCTGGGGATTTTTCTGAGATAATCTTTATCTAGAGACGCGGTTCAGGGAAACTTGGGTTACTCGAAAGTAACGACTATCACGTAAATCGAACTCTTGAAAGTTCGGTTCTCCAGATAAGCAGTCAGTCCATTAATCCATTGAGAATTACTCAGCATAACGTCAAACTCGAAGTGGTAACTCATATTTCCAGACCTTAGATTAATCGAATAAATCAACTGGCGCCCAAGCACAAAAGGGCGTTGTGTGATTTGAAGGTTTTAAATCCCTATCTCCGATGAGGCCACGTGAATTCCATAAACCGATCTGGCTGTTATAAATATCCACTTGATAATTGAATTCCGGCCTAAGCCCAACTATCGGTTATCGGTACTCCATCGGTACTGCCGATAATGGAAGTAATTCCCAGAACTCTGATAAGATGGATCAGTTTGAAAATCATCTAAAGCAATAAATATACAACATCAATCAGTGGGAACTTTGCACAACGTGGGGGGATTCCTTATTGTTTCGCCATTTTGTGGCCAAATCTATTTCAGTTCTTGTTGAGTCACATTGATTTATTTAATTTGTGGCTTCTACTTGACCATATGACTTTGTCTAAACAAAAGAGGCTAACAGTGCAAACAGTGCACTCACAAATACAATGGCTAGGGACGATACGAAACCGGCACCGGAACTTGGTTCACCATATACATAATCTGCTGTCCAGTTGATTATGGGATCGCGATTGGCTGAAAGCCATTCGTAATTCGACTTAATTCTGGAATCAATGACGGTGGTCAGATCATCCTCGAGGTACTCGGGTCCCTTAAACTTGATATCCTCCACCAGAGCGAGTAGCTGAAATGAGTTCGTTATAATTAATATATTAAAGAATATTATTTCAATCCTACCCTTTTCTCCTCCTCCTCGTTTATTACATAGTTAGCCATCTCTCGCAGATCGGCGTCTAGAGGCTTTTCTGTTCCATTTAGCCCCGCAGCATAAATATTCCAGTTGTTTTCCAGGTACAACAGGCTTTCTCTGAGGCCTTCGTTGCTCTTCGTATAGGCCGACTTGAGTAGGGAAGTGCTCTCCGAAGAGCTCAACGAGTTGGTCGTGGACAGACTGAAGAATTTTTCGAGTTGATCCGATTTCGTCGAGCAACCCAGGGAGGAAATAAAAAGACTGCGATCTGTGGCATCCGCAGCTGCCAACAAGTCCGACAGAACTCTGTCGTAGACAGTATCTGGAGGACTTCGCAGTCCGGAACAGTATGCCTGTGTTCTCAGACTGGGCTCAATCGCAGTTCCGTTGAATAGAAACTCTGACAGCTTATTGGACGCTTGGAGAAGGCACTCTTCACTCTTAACTTGACAGGCCAAGCTAACTATTACATTCCGAAGATAGTTGCTCAGGTAGTGCTCCCCAGGAACCTCGTTAACTCCAATTCTCTCTAAGGCAGGCTCAACAAGATTCCTCACGAATTGCCGAAAAGAATTGGGATCTTCTCCTCGCAAGTACCGATCGTAAGCTGTAAGGATAGTGTTGGCATTGTCCCAAGGAGCGTACTGGTCCTCATACCTCAGGTACGTGAGCAATCGCAGTAGGACGCTGTGGCTAAGGCGGCTTGTTGTGACAAAGATGTACGCATCATTCAACAATTGAGCCCGGTTTCGGACGTGAATCTTGTGGTGATTGTTGTTCAGCGCCTCGACAATGCGGTCGTAGTTATCCGAATCGTATATGGAGCGATAGAAAAAGGAGCTCTTTTTGTTGATGATGATCCAGTCATCCCTAGCTATCGCGACATCTGAGATCTCGACTTCCGTCGTGTTAAGAAGGTAGTGCGACGCAGTAGTGTTACGGTAATCCGGATTGGAGGCGGTGGCAAAGTTGATGGGCACGTACCAGGTTTTCTGGTTAGAGTCGTCATCCGCCAGATATCTCTGTTGCTTTACGGTGAAGGTTCCAGACGCATAGTTTCGGGTCACCGTCAGCAGAGGATAGCCAGCCTGCTGTGACCAGCTGCTGAAGATGTTATTCACCGTTGTGGGCAGAGAGAGACCGTGCTCGTCGGCCGACTCCTGCAAGGAGGCGAATAGATCCCACTCATCGCAGGATGTGTACTGGCTGAAGGCGAAATAATTGTTAAGTAATTAGGATTTTGTAGTATTCTAGCGACTTACTTCTTAGTCAGATACTTGTTCAGACCCGCTCGGAAGACTCGATCTGACCAGGCGTTCTTGAACATGTAAAGCACAGCGGATGGCTTGGCATAGGAAAAGGTATTATAACGTCCGGAGATCTCACTGGGAGTCTGTACGTAGTGGGTCATGGGAACTGCAGAGGTAATGGCATCGTTAATAAGAGCGCTATTGTAGTCGCTGACATGGTAGATCTGGTAGGTGTCCCACTCGGGGAAGGCAATGTCGTTGGACTCGTAGGAGAAGAGAGTGGCAAAGCCCTCCTTCAGCCAGAGGTAGGTCCACCATTGGATGGAAACGAGGTCTCCGAACCACATGTGGGCGTACTCGTGACCAATGATGTTCGCAATGCTGGTCTTCAAGTCAGTGGTGGAGTTCTCCTTAGACCAAACCATGTATTGCTCCCCGTAGGTGGCCAAGCCCCAGTTTTCCATTGCCCCTCCTTTGCCAGGAACGCCTGCCTGGTCCAGTTTTGGAAGAGGGAAGGGCACTCCGAAGTAGCCGGCCAGGCTGGATTCCACCACTAAACCAGACCACAGGGCCCACTCCTGTTGACCCACTTTTCCATTCTGTGTAAAAACGCGCTGCGGCAGATCGTTCAACTGGCCGGATGTGTACCCAAAATCGGACACCACGAAGGCGACGAGGTAGGTGGACATTTTGGGCGTAGTTTGGAAGGATGTGACTCCGGAACTAAAAACAAATAAATAGAGAAGGGCGAATCTGCAGAAAAAAATAAAAAGCTAACCTGCTAGCAGACTCATTCACGGGCATATTGCTGATTGCCGAGTAGGAAGGGTCATGGTGGATGGTGATGGTGAAGTTTGCTCTCCTTGCGGGCTCATCGTATCCGGGAAAGGCATGCCGGGCATTGGTGCTCTCAAATTGGGTGGCGGCCAAGTAACTGCCGGAAGATAACAATAATTAATTACTAAATTAACAGACTCTTGTCAACAAACCAAAATTAAGATAGGGGGAAATCATATACTGATAAGAAATAAAAGAACCGAATACCACCTAATCACAACCGGTTTTTATGGTTGTTCGATAAGCAATTGCAACTCATTAACTCGGTAATAAAATATTAATTACGTCTGGCTAATGGATCTACTTACTGTTCTGTCCCGCTGTCGTCCGTATAGCTGGTCCTATGGAATCCTGCCATGTCGCTTCTCAGGGTGCCGTTGTAGTTCACGGTTAGGGTCCACTTCGTGTTCGCCGCATAGCTCACGTTGCTCTCCGTGGGTGTGAGGACGAGGAACTCCCTTTGGGGGTCAAGAGTTACATTCAGGGGAATCTCCGTGGAATTGTCCTGATCCCGACTGACTATGGAGGCCGAAAATCCCTCTGTCTGGCGGTAGTGCAACTTGATCTCCGATGATTCTTCCAAGACCTCAATGTCGATCTGAACCGTGCCGTAGAATTCCCTGTCTCCATTGTGAACATCCGTCCAGAGTTCTATTCTGTAAGCCTCCGGAGCCGTATTATTTGGCAGACGGTAGTTCTCCTCACTGTTGTCGTCCAACCGAGAGGAGATGGATTCTAGACCCCCTGCTTCCAACTGGGCGCTCTCCAGAAGTGTTGGTCTTGGAGGGATCAATCGCGCCTCCAGGCTACTCACTGCCAGGAGCAAAAAGATCCACGATTTCTGCGTCCACATTTCCGTTCTAAGTCTCTTCGCTGATTGAAAGTCCACCTCTCTTTGGTGGCTTATTTATGGGTATTCAGTACTAACGTGCTATCTTAGCACTAACATATGACTTAGTACTATCATGACCTCATTGATAATTAACTACTTTTATGAGCCAATTATGACTAGACAAGCAAAAACTGGAAAAAGCTATAGCATCATAGCTATGAATTCGAGTGAAAAATATTGTTTAAGTATCTTAAGTTCAATAAATGGATAAACTAATTTTAAGATTAAACTACTAAGCGCGTTAGAGAATTTCTTAGCTTCATATAAGAAAATTGGCTAACAAAGCCCTTAAGTATGATATTATTGATAGACTGTTATCAATGGAAATTGTCGCATCAAAGCAACAATCATAAAACATTACCGAATGTCATGGAAGTTAGATATCTAACCAATTTTTGTTCTCCAGGATTGATTAAAAAATTGCACAACATTGCTATAAATTTAAAGCTATAAAAATAGATTTTTTAACAATATTTCTCATGGCCTAAATGGGAAAACCACAGCAAATTCTACTCCCCTTTTCTATTGGTCACCAAAATGCATAAAATGAAATAAATCTAATTTGGTACAAGGAAATTATATTTATGTCTTGAATCGTTTATCTATTGGTTTTTTTTATCAGAAATAATAACAATTACTTATTCTAATATAGCTTCGAAAGCAGCAAGGCCACCGCACTGATTAAAACAGTGGCGAGGGATGCCGTCAGACCCGAGGTTCCACTGCCCGAAAGGTGGCTGTTAACCCAGGAGATCACAGGGTCGCGGTTGGTGTCCAGCCAATCGAAATTCGACTGAATTCTAGAGTTCACGGTGGTGTATAAATCGTCTTGCAGATAACCGGTGTTCTGAGACTGAATTTCATCTACCAAGGCATTGAGCTAAGAAAGAATATAAATTTTAAATACTCTAAAGGCCAGAAAAGAAAATAACATCAGATCTTACCCTGGTCTTCTGCTTCTCGCTGACCACGTAAGTGGCAACGCCCCGCAGAGCCGAGTCCAAGGGCTTGGCGCTATCTGAGGACGATAGTTCTGCATATTCCTTCCAGTTGGACTCGAGGAACTCCAGACTGGCGGTGACACCGTCCTCGCTCTGGGAATAGGCTGCGTTCAACAGGGAAGTGCGTTGCGAGTAGCTCAATCCATTGCTCTCGTCCAAGGATAGTTTGAGGAAAGTACCCAGTTGGGAGGCTTGAAGAGAGCAGCCCAGTGACGAGATGAACAAGCTGCGGTCAGTGGCATCTGTGGTGGCCAGCAGATCTGATATTACCCTCTGGAATACCTCGTCGGTGGGATTACGCAGACCGGCACAGTATGCTTGGGTCCTTAAGGTGGGCTCAATAACGATTCCATCGAACAAAAACTCGGAGAGCTTCTTTGCTGACGCCGTGTGGCACTCGACGCTGCCCACCTGGCAGGCAAGGCTAACCAGGACAATGCGCAGGTAGTTGTTCAGATAGTGTTCCCCAGGAATCTCGTTCACTCCCAGTTTTTCAAAAACAGGATTGATCAGTTCCTGTACGAAGGTCTGGAAATTGCTGTAGGAATCATCGCCTCGCAAGTAGCGATTGTAGACGGTAAGAATGGAGTTGGCGTTTGACCAGGGGGCGTACTGCTCCTCGTACTTTAGGTAAGTTAGCAACCTCAGCAGAATGCTGTGGCTCAGGCGACCAGTGGTCACGAAGATGTAGGCATCGTACAACAACTGAGCACGGTTGCGAACGTGAATCTTGTGATGGTGCTCGTTCAGGCCGTCGATAATGAGACCGTAGTTATCCAGATCGTACAGGGTACGATAGTAGTAGGCATTCTGCTTATTAAAAACTAACCACTTGTCGCTAGCAACCGATACGTCTGAGATTTCGACCTCCGTCGTGTTTAGGAGGTAGTGCGAGGCACTAGTGTTCCGGTAATCCGGACTGGAGGCGGTGGCAAAGTTGATGGGCACGTACCAGGTTTTCTGGTTAGAGTCGTCATCCGCCAGATATCTTTGTTGCTTTACGGTGAAGGTTCCAGACGCATAGTTTCGGGTCACCGTCAGCAGAGGATAGCCAGCCTGCTGTGACCAGCTGCTGAAGATGTTATTCACCGTTGTGGGCAGAGAGAGACCGTGCTCGTCGGCCGATTCCTGCAAGGAGGCAAATAGATCCCACTCATCGCAGGAAGTGTACTGGCTAAAGGCGAACAAGTTTTTAAGTAATTAGGATTTCGTCAAATTTTAGCGACTTACTTCTTAGTCAGATACTTGTTCAGACCCGCTCGGAAGACTCGATCTGACCAGGCATTCTTGAACATGTAAAGCACAGCGGATGGCTTGGCATAGGAGAAGGTATTGTATCGTCCGGAGATCTCACTGGGAGTCTGTACGTAGTGGGTCATGGGAACCGCAGAGGTTAGCGCATCATTTATAAGGGCACTGTTGTAATCGTTGACATGATAGATCTGGTAGGTGTCCCACTCAGGGAAGGCAATGTCGTTGGACTCGTAGGAGAATAGGGTGGCGAAGCCCTCCTTCAGCCAGAGGTAGGTCCACCATTGGATGGAAACGAGGTCTCCGAACCACATGTGGGCGTACTCGTGACCAATGATGTTCGCAATGTTGGTCTTCAGGTTGATCGTCGAGTTTTCCTTGGTCCACCACATATACTGCTCTCGGTAGGTGGCCAAGCCCCAGTTCTCCATCGCTCCGGCTGAGAAGTCAGGAATGCCAGCCTGATCCAGCTTGGGCAGAGGGAAGGGCACTCCAAAGTAGCCAGCCAGGCTGGACTCCACAACCAATCCTGACCACAAGGCCCACTCCTGCTGATCCTGCTTGCCCTTCTGCGAGAAGACCCGTTGGGGAAGGTTATTCAGTTCGCCTCCGGTAGACTCAAAATCGGTGACGATGAAGGCCACGAGGTAGGTGGACATCTTGGGGCTTGTGTTGAAAGAGGTAACTCCGGAGCTAACGGACATACAAAATAAATACAATCTTCGGATAGTTTTGGCCAAGAAACCTACCTGCTAGCAGCCGCGTTCACGGGCATGTTGCTAACGGCCGTGAAGGACGGATCGTGATGCAGGGTGATGGTGAAGTTGGCCCTCCTGGCGGGTTCGTCGTAGCAGGGAAAAGCGTGTCGGGCATTGGTGCTCTCAAACTGGGTGGTGGCCAGATAGCTGAAAATATTTAGCCAATTAGTTGCAGTTGACTCAGTCGATCAAATCTAAAAGGCAGGCGAGATAAGCGAAACTATGTTGTACGATATGAAATCTACGGGTTGTAATCCACCTTATCAGGATCTATGGGCCGCAATGAGGAATTTAAAAGGTCATATAACCTAAGAATTTCAAAATAATATTCAATAGGCTTCACTTACTGGACTTGATTGTCCACTCCCGTGTAGCTGGACATGTAGAAGCCACCCATATCAGATCGCAGAGTTCCGTTGTAGTTGATAATCAGGGTCCAGTTAGTATTTTGCGCAAAGGACACCGTGGGATCCGTAGGCGTAAGGATCAGGAACTGGCGGAGGGTCTCGTTGGCGACCGTCAGTGGGATCGCAGTGGGATCGGTTTGATCCCGACTGATGATGGTGGCCTCGTGGTGAGACGTCTGCAAAAAGTGCAGCTTGATCTCCGAGGATTGCTCCAGGACCTGAATATCAATCTGAACACTTCCGTTGAACGCCCTAGTTCCATTATGCACGTTTGTCCAGAGCTCGACTCGATAGGCTTCTGGGGCAGTATTGTTCGGCAGCCGATAGTTGCCCTCGCTGTTGTCGTCTACCCGAGGACTGATCAGCGAGTAGGTGCCTTTCGTCTCTATCTGGACATCCTCCAAGTCCAAGGACAACGGAGGAATCAGACGGGCCTGCAGACTGGCAACTGCCAGGAGCAGGATACAGGATTTCAGCAGCCACATCGTCATGTCGGCCGCTTCGGGAAAAGTCACTTGATTAGTGTGAGGCGGCCGGCCGCTTGGCCCCTATTTAAGGAATCGGCCGTAATCTAATCCCGACCGCCGATCGCCATAAAGATTGTTGCGCAACACTCGATAAAACGGACAAGAGTGCACTTGGCCAAGACATGCGGAACAATCCAATAAAAAGACAATAAAAAGCTCAATCACCAGATAGTAAACCGTGCTGAAAAATCCTACGTCTTCAAAATACAAGTTCTATCTACAAATTCCCCGGGTTATATCCCATTTGATCGCTATGAAACATGACTTTGAATCGAGGAATTCTAAAATTGGCGGTTAGTCAAATAACAACTTTTGTCTGAGAGGCCTAAGTATACAGTTTAGCTAATAAGTGGATCATAAATGTTTCAGTTATCGGTTCGTCTACGTTGTGTATGGCTTCGATAGGCTAGTACACTGAAAAGTGCAAGTTGGCTAAAAAGATACGCAGGCATGGGTATAATTACACTTAAAAATCATTCAAGTGCTCCTAGAAAGTGTGTCAAGAATGGAGGGCTTATAATTCTTTGTCTTTTACGAGCTTACGTAGTGATCACGACTTTTATGTAAACATGTAGAAATATTGCCTTAGTATTCCTGTAAAACCACACAAATAGAGTAGCTGTTCTTTATCCATAAGTATGAACCGCCAAAAAACTGATTGAAAAGTAATCGAGACCCTAAAGATAACCATTTACGATCATTGACATAAAAATCCCATTAAAAATCGCTTGTCATTCCATCCAAAAACAAAAAGAAACCGTGGTGAAAAGCTCTGACTTTTAACCACATTCCTCGGAACGATCGTTTGGAGTACTATGGGAATTAATTTATTTTTAATTAAGCTTTTACTTATGTATTTTCTAGTCTTAAATGCGAGGAATGGCAATCATCTGTAAAACGAAGGATCTATCGAACTCAACGCTCTTCGCACTACCCGGGTGGCATCCTTCAGGATACCCTGCGGTCTACTGGAACCATTAGAGACTGAGCTAAGGGAGGCGGCCAGAAGGGCGTCGCTCTTGCCGGGAGCTGAGGGCACTTCGCTTAGCAGCCAACTGTGGATCTGCTGCTCGAACTTGTCCAGGAATGATTCACTGAGCTGGGCCTTCTTCCCCACCAGCGGGGAGTTCACATCGATCAGCTCCTCGCTGGGATTCAAGCTCTCCAGAGCCATATGGTTGGCTATGCTTTCGCGGAGTCGCATAAACTGAAAGTGATTATAGTTAGATTATTAATGCTCTTATTATTCGTGACTTTCCAACTTACATGAGGCCTCTGTTGCCGGGGCAGGAACTCCGCAATCTGGTTAAAGTGCTCCACGAAGCTTGGTGACCGGCAGAGGAGCTTGTAGTTGCGGTCGATGTATTGCCAAATCACGGGGCGAGCTGCCTGATTTGACTTGTAGACATAGAACAGATACATCATGGCCTCCGGATCACTGAGGATCAGGTGCGTGGAGTTCTCGCCCAGCAGTAACTCCATATACGACAATAGGTGCCTGCGGCTCTGGGTGCACCTCAAGGAGTATATCAGATCGTCGTAGTACACCGAGCTTCGATCTGCCGCCTGCAGCATATCGATGACCCCGCGGAAGTCGTTGTCGCTAAGGTAGCGGACTCCCAGGCACAGAACCGTATCGTACATGGCATAGTACTCCGAGTCGTTGGTCAAGTTCACTCTCTTAAAGATGTACTCCTTGGTGAGGCGGCGGGTGTAGTCAAGGCACTCGGGCAGGTCGGCTACGCAGGCCATTTGCAGGATCTCCTGGCCTGCGTTTAGAGCGCTGTTCGATATCTGGCCGCCCTGAGGGTCGAGGAAGAGTCGCCGAAAAATAGGCGTGACCAGTCGGCGCACAAAAGCATTGAACATATCCTGGGAGGAAGTGGCAAACAAGTTCCTTCTCAGAAAGTCTATGGTGTCGGCCACCTGGTTCCACGGCAGCATGTCCTCTTCAAACTCCATGTACTTGAGCATCTCAAACAGGACGTCCACATGCTCGATCTCGTTGTGCTCGATCAGGGGCTTCAGGTCTCGGAAGAGGGCCGCCCGGTTAACGGGATGGATGAGGGAGTGATTGACCTGCAGCTGTCGGGCTATGGCCCTTAGATTGTCGGTGTCGTAATGAACGTGGTAGAATCCCGTTTGCTGCTTGTTCACAATAATCCAATCCCTACCATTAAGCTGGAGACCCAAGTCCTCCAAACTCACCGAGTACTGGGCCTGGGGCGGCATAAACAGATCTGCTTGGGTGTCCTGGAAACTGGGCGCCTGGGCGGTTGCGAAATTTAATGGTATCCACCAGAGCTCGTCCTTGGCGTGTAAGGATCGCTGGCTAAAGATAATGGAATTGTTTTCGTAACTCCTGGACACCAAGACAATGGGCATCCACTCGCTGTGCGTCCAGGAGAGCATAATATCCCGGACCCGAGACGTCCATGGCTGCTGGGAGAAGTACTCGTCCTCCCGGAGCTCCGTCTGGAGGGCATCAAAGAGATTCAGCTCGTTGGCGGTGCTGTAACGACTGGAGAAACCTTTCACATGAGTTCCAAATGGACCAGTTCCACCATTACCATGTCCCACTCACTATTTTTCCAGAAAGTGGCCAATCGCCTTAACGAAAAGCTTTTGGCGGAAGGCGTGATGGAACATCTTTATCACACAAGCAGCTCTCTTGTACGTTATGATATCGAAGGTGCCCATCACATCCTTCTCCGTTTCCACATACGAGGTCATTGGCCGGACGTCAAAGAAACTGTTGTAGCTATACGCCCGATCCGCCTCATCGGCCACGAACATGTCCATCACTTTGTCCTCAGGATAGAGCTTAAGAACAGTTTGAATTTAAAAATACTTAATAAGGGATACAAGATCATTTAACCCACCACATCCGTAATCACATATCCAAAATAAGTGGCAAAACCTTCGTTCATCCAAGCATAGGTCCACCATTCAGGCGACACCAGGTTCCCGAACCACTGGTGGGCAATCTCATGGTTCTGCGTTATTTTGTCCTTCACCCTCTTGTGCACATCTTCCGAATCCTGTTGCAACAAATTGGCCTCCTTGTAGGTGATGAGTCCCCAGTTCTCCATGGCAGCTCCGTAGTTCTTCTTCAGCGCTACGTGATCCAGCTTCTCTAGGGGATAGCTGACCCCGAAGTAATCCTCCATGGCCGCCACCGTTCTTACGGCGTTTTTCAGTGCACTCTGACCCTTTTCCCTGGTGCTGGGCGAGGAGTATATGCTTTGTGTGACCCCGCGATATGTTTCTGAAATCTTCTCAAAGTTCGAAATGACGAAGGCAACCAGGTAGGTGGACATGGGTGGTGTTATATGGAAGTGCGTTGTCGTCAGATCTCTAAAAATAAACTTGGGTATTAGTTGAGTTTGTGAAGAAAGAAATGAAGTGACTTACCCATGAGGAATCGTTTTCTTGACTGGCATATTTGAAATGGCCGAGTGTGTACTACCATGGGTTATCGTTATGCTGAAATTGGACTTAAAGCCAGGTTCATCGTAGCAGGGAAAGATCAGACGAGCATAAGTTGGCTCCGACTGAGTGGCGGCTACGTATCTACAGTTTCGAAGAAAAGTTAAGATAGTAGTGATATCATATTACTATAAATTCAAGTTTTCCTCTTAATAATAAATCGAATGTTACCTAATATTCTACGAATGCTCATTAAAATAAAACAATTTGGGGACGCAAAAAATCCCATTCCCATTTCCAGATCATTGAACGTAAAACACTTAACAAAACCAAAAAAACCAGCTGCAGCCTGCGGCCACCGGAATGATCAATCAAATTGAGAACCTGATCTCACTTCCAGGGAACAAGCGCGGTTCGTTATTTAGCGAAAGCATGAGACTCTCCTCCGAATCATGCCAAAATAATTGCTCAATCGAAACCAAAACAAACTCTTGGACTCGCACCCAAACACAAACAAAAAATTAAATCAAAGTTGTCGGCGGATGGGAGAGTTTCTGTTCTGCCTTCATTATCTACCGGGGAACTGATAAGTCCAGCTGCTTGCTTAATTGTGGTCACAGTCATTCCCCTTTATGAAGAATTCCCCATCAAGTATCTGTTCCTCACTATATGTCGCATAGTATTGGTGCCCCTGAGGGCCATTGTTTACATCGTCAGCATGGTGACGCGCTGAACCGATTTCGAGTCCGATTCCGCCAAATCCGAGGGGTACACACCACATAGTATATGGCCCACTGATAAGCAGCTCTCCGGCTGTCTACGCCAGCAACAGTAATTAAAATTCAAAGCCAAACAAATGGAAATAATAACAAAGTAAAAGTGAGAGCTAAGTAGCCACTGTGAAGTGACCAATTCAAAGTGCACAATGAACCTATCTGAGGGTTATGTAAGGGCAAACCAGCCGGGAGAATCTATTCAATATATAATCAACTAAAAGCGCGTGCCAGCCATATGGGCATTTCCTTAAGTAGAACAACAAGCTTCTCAGAGGAAACTTGGGACAGTTGAGGGTTTTTTTTAGCCAACTTTGTGAATCATAAAACAATTTGGCTTTAGACTCTATCTTTAATTCGCACTATCTTTAATACTCACACAGTGCGGTTGGTTTTATCATCGTGGTAATCCATATAGTAGAGTCCCATGGCGCGGTTCCTCATGATCGCCGTGTAGAGGATCTCCAGCCGATACCGCTGACCCGCCTCGAAGGCCATGTAGTTCTCCTGCGGATGGATGACCACGAACGCAGCCCTCTCGTCAAAGGTGTGGGTGAGGTCGTCCACTAGCACTGAGGTCTCCGGTCCCGAGTCCGAATCCACCAGCCGGCGAACCGTTATCTGAATATCCGTGAGATTTTTGGCGTGCAACACAATCTCGTTCGTCGACTGCCGGATGAGTACGTCAATGGTGGCATTTCCGCTGAACAGCAACGTGCCTTTGTGTATGTTGCTGGATATGTGCAGCTGGTAGTGGAGCGGATAGGTTTCGTTCGGCAGCCGGAGCGCACGGTCGCGTGGAAATGCGGTAGCGCCGACCTGCACGATCCCGGAGATCATCAGGGCAAGCCCTGCGACCCAGAGCGCCAGGCCAGACGACGGCGTGATCATGGCGATACGGGATATACACGCGAACCGGATCGGACCTGTCTTTCTCACTGTATCAGTATCTCAGAAGTGTGCGCCCTGGCAACCGAAACTCGACTGACTGAGCGGCGACGAGCTCGCCAGCGGTTATAGCCAAAGCCTCCCTGTCCCGGTCCGATAAGATAAGCCTGGCGGCTGATCGATGAGCTCGAGTGCTTGTATAAGAGTCTTTAGCTTATTAGTGCACCGGACAAAAATTTTGTTAAGTCGAAAAATTGAGTGTATTTTTGGTATCAAGACTTCTTCTGGTCACCATTACTTACCATTACTATGTAAATATAATTTATAATGCTTATAAGAGCAAAAAAATTTTAGTTAAGGGACTTGTTTGTTTCTGTGCATAACCCATTCATGCTGGGTCGAGTGTGTACTCAAAACATTGAGCAGGTCACGGTGCAGTCCTTGGCACGAAAACCCCGAATGCGGGTTTTTCTTTTGGGCTCAACTCTCCCCTATGTTTGGATAACAGGTGCTACTATTAATAGGGGTATAAACGCACCCCATTACTAATTTGTTGTTCAAGAAGGAAAACAAAAACACCCCTTTTAAACAAATATCTTGAATGTTCTCGATCAGGAACCTGTTTACAAAATAACAAGTAAAATTTTCTTTTATCTACAATTTTTGTTATCTTAAAAACTATTTACAATAAATTGTAAGCTAAATGTGCTTAAATATTTGGGCTTCTGAAAAAGTGACACCTTTAACTTTATGGGTGTCGGAAGTCAATACTATCATATATTTTCAACTGTGGGTTTAAACATAGATTACACATAGTTACGCATATTTTTTTCGACTCATACAAATTCAAGGTAATACTTATGAATAAAAAGACATACTGGAGTACTCACCACTGTTAGTCATTTCAGTTCGTCATTTTAGGGCCTTCTCTACCTTTATATTATAAGTATGATATTATAAGTATGATGGGATATCCTTCGCCTGATAAGTAGTCAGCAAATAAATATGTATTAAACAGTATCAAAAAGCCTCCACTCAGAAACTTGAAGTAATTCTCTCATCGCATTGTTCTCATCGATGAGCTTATAAATTGCGATCCACAACTTAAATTTCTCAGTCGAAGCTTTACTTTCTAAGAGGAAAGATGATTTCCAGCTCGTTCGTCTGCCTGGGACTTTTGCTTTTAATCCTGAGCTTTGCGGCAGCCAGTCAGGATACTAAAGGAAATACTTGCATGAAAAATGGAGGATACGTAAGTTATCTAGACTTCCCTAGAAAAATTTGTAATTTCCGTGCTTCCCGTTTTCAGTGCCAGACACATTGGGAGTGCTGCTCCAGAAAATGCATGACCTATCTCAACCAGTGCGCCAAGCGGATCGGTTCCTCCTATCCCTATCCTCAGGGACACGATTTTCCCCATCCAAATGGCTTAGAAATTAGTGGACCAAATGAACAAGCTAACAAATACGATGCCAGTTTGCAAATTGTGGGCCTTCCCAATGAGTCGAAGCCCTCGGGTAGCACTTTCGACATTGTGCGCCAGAATGAAATTTCTGGGTCAACGGTGCCCTATAAGTGCCGCAATGTCGGCGAAACGGTAAGATCACTTACTTCATTCCATTTTACCTCAGTCACCTCAAATAATTATTATTAAATCTTTCTTTGTTAATTTCAGTGCTACCGGGGTGAGGAATGCTGTACAATGCGCTGTCACTTCTACATGCACAAGTGTGTCACATGAGAATATTTATTTTAATAATTAAAATATTATGTAATTTTATGAAATGCTTAATCATTATACTTACTAATCTCCTATCCAAATTATACGATCCTCTATCCTCGTAGAAAAATGAAAGAGCATAATAGAGTGAAATAAAGTATGCATCGTTGTAGCACAGAGTCTTATGTATTATTCTTATTGTTTTTAATATTTTAGCACCTTCAGTTCTTAATTTATGCTGTGTGAAAAAGTGTTTGAAGCATTTGAATAACTTTCTTTGTATTTTGAAAGTATAAAATGATCCCATAAAAAGGCTACCCGATTTGATAAAAAAATAATATCAATATCAAAGATGGTGTTATAATCAAATTTATAAATTTTTGCTTGCATCTGTGGTATGGAACGTATTTTTAAAGCAAAAATAAGCAAAATAAAAAACCCTAGATAGCAAAAATTTTTCCTGTTAATGAATGGCTCTTACAACTGATGTGATGAGCCAAAAAAAGACCAGTATGAGTTATTTGGGTTATACATGTTAAGAATGTGGTACGGGTTTTCCAAAACACATATGAGAAGTCTACTGTAAAAACAAGAAGCTTTGGGTTTAATTTGTTATTTTCTAGCAGCCAATGATTGCTGATAACCCCGACTGAAAGAAATGACAAATACATATTTTTATTAATTTCTAAATATAATGAGAAAACAAATCATGTACGCCACAAGGATAGTAGACCAGGATAATAAGGATAATAATCCAGAGTAGTATAAACATAATAATTAATAAATAGAACGATTTTTTAAACATAATTCATAAGTCTATTTAATCCCAGAAGAAAATTCAAGTAATGGCCCTGATCCACCGCACTCATCACACCAAGATAATGGCAAGGTATTATGAGTCACAAGTTCTGGCGAATATGTTTCTACTTCTGAGCCGTATCTGATTTATCAATACCAAATATTGACAATGACAATTTTCAATTATCTCGAGCAGCTTGACACAAATGTAACCCGACCTCTTGACTTGGCAAACAGCAGAGCATGTCCGAACAGATGGAATCGTTGCAATTAATTAAGGCCGCAGGGTCACTTATTGGCATATTGCCTTAAAAGCCAAGTGGGGAGCTTCTAGGGAGCAGTTCGCTTTGGAAGGGCCACCATTTGAAATCAGAATGCTGAGTATTGTATTGATCTTTCTGGCGGTTGTAAGTTGAATTTAAAATACCTTTGTTGAAACGAAACCACAATTAAACATTGCATAAATTTACTTACATTTTCAGCTACAAGTTCAAGCTCTTCCCGCTGGCAAGGTGTCGCCTGCGGTTGATGCCAAACTGCCCGTACTATCTCCACCCGCTGTCCAGAAGCCTGCGAATCCTCTAAATCCCGACGAAGTCACCCTCTTCACCAACATGTTCCTGAGCTTGCTCCGGGGAGTAGCCGACTATCGGAATCTGGTGGCCGCCGACTCGGTACAGAGTGTGTGGCAGAGTCCGCCGGTTGTCGACTTCAGTCACAGACTCTTCGCCAACTAGATATCTTTTGTTATTCGATTCTGAAAATCTGTTTTTGCAAAAACATGCTGTAATAACAATTCAACACTATCAGTCTTTGGTTTTTATTTGAATAGTATATAAGCTCTGAACTTCTGGTTATTTATTCACTTTCGAGTTTAAAAAACGGAACCACCAGATAATTAATCCAAGATGAAGCTAGCTGTGGTTATCCTGAATATTATCCTGGTCATCAGGGGTCTGTCGGTGGCTGAAAGTTTTGAGAGGGAACTTTCTTTCGAAGAAAGCGCACTGAGAGATTCAAGGGGCCCAGAGAATGTTCACCCTCGTCTTAGTACTAAACCTTATTCCATAATGCCCCCTTAAAAAAATCTTACTCAGGTTAAAAATAACTAAGTTTATTGAAATGTTTTCTGGACAATAAGCAGTGGCGGATTTAAGGAAAAAGTCCCAGTGGGCAAAATTTTTTAGGGTACATTGAAGGGTATTTTGAAGGGTACAGCCCAGAAAATTTGACAAAAAATCTTAAAAATATTTTGTTCCCAGATTTTGATGCAGATTTATGAAGAATCGATCCACAAATCGTTTAAGGTATTCCGTTCAAGAATCGGATAAATATTTCCTAAGATATGGCCTTCGCAGTGGGTCATATGGGGCTCCCCATGCATTTTGCACATTTTGAAGGGGACAGCCCAGAATATTTGACAAAAAATCTTTAAAATATTTTGTTCCCAGATTTTGATGCAGATTTGTGGAAAAGAAATCGAAGGTGTAACTTTCCGCACGAGGGGCCCTGAAAGCCTTTCGTCGGGGGGGGGGGGCCCAGTGGGCAAGCGCGCCTTTGCCCACCTGTTAAATCCGCCACTGACAATAAGCTAATTATGATTTTTAGATCGAACGTCTCAACTGGGCGGAAAACTGCAGACAATTCAGGCAAAAATGCAAGTTCTCCGAACAATGTTGCAGCAATAAGTGCTTAAAGCATATAAAACGCTGCACTACTTTGTGAATTTAAAACGCCTAATTATAAATAAAGTCATGTGTCGTAGTATATCAGAGCTCATTACAATTTTTTCTAGCTTGATAAATAATGATAAATCCCCTATGTTCTCTTTGAACCTGACTGTCTGATAATGAGCCTAGTACTAGAAGGCTGAAGGATGGAGGCCGGAGCTCATCCTTGTCATCTGGTTAGACACTCACTCGGCTGGCAATAATAAACTGTATCAACTGACAAACCCGTCAGTTGACACACAAACACTGAAGCGCTGGTAATGCGAAGTGAATTGTTTGGCTGCTCACAATCAACTTACATCGGTTTGTGTTTGTCACCGTTTACCAGCAAACAATATTTCCGCTCGCACATCTGAATACCCCTTGTTGTCCCGCCTAATCTTTTTACTTTTAGCTCCACCAGCCAAATGCTGCAGTTGGATCAACAATGCCCGCAGGCATTGTAATAGGTCCTATTAAAATATGGGGAGCATTTCTGGGCGAGTGTTGAACTTTTTATGGGTCTACCGAAAAGTATGCCACTTTTCACTCGTCACTTCACTCGTAGGTGACCCTTTTCTTTTCACCAAGTTTCATAATTTCAGGCGTATCAGGTCCGAATAATAGATCCTGGTTAGGAACTGCAAGACGCTGGAGGAATTTTAGCTCTTGACCAACCGGATGTGCATCTTATTGAAAGTTATACGAGTCAGTAATTTGTTTCAACGCTACTTTTGACTGGGTTTTCGTCTAAGTAATTCCAAATGATTTTCCGAAAAACGAGGTGATTAAAAACAAAATAAAAAACTTTATTATTCAAATTAAGAGACTGCTGAACAAAGCACACAAAAATTTTAGTCGTTTCAAATAAGAAAATGCTAGGTTTCTTGCTCGCTTGTGAGTTACACAAGCTTGCTTGTTATTGAACAAGGTGATTAAAACCAAAATAAAAAACTTTATTGTTCAAATTAAGAGACTGCTGAACAAAGCACACAGAAATATTAGTCTCTTATGACGAAAGAAGTTCCTTCCTTTTTTCATAAAAGAAGATTTGCCTCCGACCATGCAAAGGAAAGTACCGAAGATATCAAATCGTTCCGTTTCGGAATTATTTTCCATGTCAGCAGATCAAGTTGAAATGTAAGTAGACGAAATCCATAGGAGGAAGATGGTTTGCTGGAATTTTCAGAAGTCAGGACATAGGTTCGACGATTGTATGGAAGTCCGATCAGTATTTATTTATAAACCAAAGATATTTATAAACCAAAATGACCTCGTTGTAACCCGACGGACAACCGCCAGAGGGATGCGCAGAATACCACCAATCTGACGCATCCTTACAACCCAAACCACTAGTTAAAGAAGCTTATTCTCAAACGGAATACTCAACATCTATTCTCGAGAATAATACCTTAAAGAAGCGCAAGAGCAACTGAACGCAGTTACCGAGCGAAACCCATTACCGAGCGAAACCCATCTACACATTATATGGGAAAGGTACATATAATGCAGCAAAGTGTCGCATATTCGGATACGAAAATTCGACACCCAAACGGAAACAAAGACGCTCGACCGCTCGTTTAAAAACATTTTGGAGAAATATTACTAATACCAGGAGAAAGTTAGTTTCCTCTATACTTGGTAACTCTGATGACAGGCTATATACAGACATCATTGTAGGAGAGAAGAAATATGTTGCATTGCTAGATTCGGGAGCATCCGTAAGTTGTTTAGGTGGAAACGCGGCTGCCGAAATTATGAGCAATCACAAACTTCAAAAATGTTCGGGTAATATTCGAACGGCTAATAATAATAAATGTCCCGTGGTAGGAAAATATGTGACTAACATTTCTTACCGTGGCGAAACAAAGCCTATTGAATTCTACGTTATCCCAACATTAAGCCAGGATGTTTATTTAGGAATTGATTTCTGGAAATCTTTTAACTTGGTCCCTAGCTTGATTAGTCCCAAGATCTTATGAATTGGTAAATGAGGCAGGAAAAATATTAGGAACATATAATTTAAAGGACATACAAGTAGTAGTTTTAGGTTAATATTAGTTTTTTTTTTTGGTTAATATTAGTAATTTCAGCTAATGACCCCTGCGAATAAGATTTTTGTGGCATTAACTGTGGTGTAGTGTGTGGTTTGCATGGGGAAGCTTAGCCACTAACTTACAATTGCTTAAGAGATAAGGCTGCGTTATTAAGCCTAAATCTATAAAAGTAAACTTGTTCTTATTAAAATTAAATATAAGGAAGAATTTATTCAATCCCAGCGGAATTAGCTGTGGATATAAGTGAAATAGTGATTTTATGCCAGGTATTTTTTTGGAGTTAGTGCAGTGAAGTTTTCTTTAAAGAATTATTTTCCCCAGTGCCACGTGCCAGTGCGGCTAGTACAGAGTGATGCAACCGGCTAGTACGAGATTACGTAATCGGCTAGTACCGAACTATGCAATCGGCTAGTACCGAATTATGTAATCGTCTAGTTTAATTATGGATTTAAGGAAGCGTAGCTCCAAGATCCGAACGAAATTCAATCCGATAGAATCGGATGGAATACTTTTAATCAAATTTTGGAGTCGACAGGCGGCTGCAGTGCATTTTATGGACATAATGGACATAATGGACACCTTTCTCCATTCGCAACACGGAGAGAAAACTCCTGCGAACTATTTTTTCGGTCGTATTATTAGCAGTGTAATTTTATAAACATTGTCCTGCTTAATTATTATAGAAAGACTTGCAGTTTATTATTTTGTTTATTATATTACGGACTTTTTCACAAAAGAAAACTTCTCTCGCACCTTTATTTTTTTGATTATAATTTTTCAAATAATTTAATGTATAAATTTCTAATTATTTGAATTATTCCTAATTATTTCCATTTTTCTTGGTTTTTTTAATATAAATCCCCGAGCTCCTCCTGTCCTCGAGCTCAACGGCGGTGAACTTGGGTAAGTGGATACCACTAAAAGAAATAACACATACTTTGACCTAAACAGTAAATTTTGGGAGGCATGAATCTTGAATAACTGAATTGACATTATTGCAAATTTCTTAATATTTGGTCTAAAATGTAATTTAAATTTAATTCTTGAACTTTACTTAATAATATTTATTCTTCTTATATATATATATCTAAATTATATATGTTTAATATATGTTAAGGAAATATTACTCGATTTTAATAGAAATCCCTAATTGGTAAAATGAATAAAGTTTTTATTAATATTTCTTTGAGTATTTTAAAAGTTATGAAGGCTTAAGGCTTAAGGCTCTAACCGTTCCGCCGCCGAAGCCCTAAATGCTGGAACCACAATAATTATCACATAGGATTGTGATATGGGGCGAATCAAACGTCGTAGATCTCGCCAAGGTCGGGTGGGTTAAGACCATAACGACCATCTAATTACCCTATAACTCTCTCTCTCCTCTGAAGATATTTGAATTTTAGGGGATTTGTTTCTTTGTTTTCGGAGTTGATTATATGAATTTTCGAGCTATTGCACTTAATTTATTTTGATGAAGTGTAGTATGGATACGTGAAAAGAACCTCCCCCATCCGTCGAGCTAAGTCTAAGACCACAAGAAGTGCACGCGCTTCACTCCCATCCATACGTCCCTAAGGTATATCCTCTGGACCACCTTGCATCTTGGTTCTGTTGGAACTTACAGGAACACCCGCACATTACGTAGGATATTCTTCGCATGATAAATAGTAAGCAAATAAATACTATACAGTATCAAAAAGCCTCCACTCAGAAACATCGATGAGCTTATAAATTGCGATCTACAACTTAAATTTCTTAGTCAAAGCTTTACTTTCTAAGAGGAAAGATGATTTCCAGCTCGTTCGTCCGCCTGGGACTTCTGCTTTTCATCCTGAGCTTAGCAACAAGTCAGGATAATTGCATGAAAAATGGAGGATTCGTAAGTTATCTAGACTTCCGTAGAAAAATTTGTAATTTCCCGTCTTCCCGTTTTTAGTGCCAGGCACATGGGGAGTGCTGCTCCAAAAAATGCCTGACCTTTATGCAGCAGTGTGCCAAGCGCGTAGGTTCCTCCGAACCCTTTCCTCCGAAAATGGGATAGAAATTAGTGGACCAAATGCTTAATCATTATACTCCTTTCCAAAATTATACGATCTTCTATCTTCGTTGAAAAATGAAAGAGCATAATAGAGTGAAATAAAGTATGCAGAGTTGTAGCACAGAGTCTGATGTATTATTCTTATTGTTTTTAATATTTTAGCACCTTCAGTTCTTAATTTATGCTGTGTGAAAAAGTGTTTGAAACATTTTAAAAACTTTCTTTGTGTATTGAAAGTTTTGTTCAAACTTAATTCTTTTATTTCTGTTGAAAATTTACATTTTTATTGTTATCAAGCATGGAAACTTGTTACCCAATAAGAAAGGCAAAGAAAAAAAATAAGCCTATAAAAAAGATAGACTAGAAAAAAATTATATCAACATAAAAGATAGAGGTATAATTAAATTTATAAATTTGTGCTTGGTATGGAACGTATTTTTAAAGCAAAAATAAGAAAAATAAAAACCCTAGATAGTAAAATCTTTTCCTTTTAAAGGTTGGTATACAGCTGATGGCACAAAAATACCAGTATGAATTATGTGGGTTATACATGTTATTACCACAATTAAACACTGCATAAATTTACTTACATTTTCAGCTACAAGTTCAAGCTCTTCCCGCTGGCAAGGTGTCGCCTGCGGTTGATGCCAAGCTGCCCATACTATCCCCACCCGTTGTCCAGAAGCCTGCGAATCCTCTAAATCCCGACGAAGTCACCCTCTTCACCAACATGTTCCTGAGCTTGCTCCGGGGAGTAGCCGACTATCGGAATCTGGTGGCCGGTACTCGGTACAGAGTGTGTGGCAGAGTCCGCCGGTTGTCGACTTCAGTCACAGACTCTTCGCCAACTAGATATCTTTTGTTATTCGATTCTGAAAATCTGTTTTTGCAAAAACATGCTGTAATAACAATTCAACACTATCAGTCTTTGGTTTTTATTTGAATAGTATATAAGCTCTGAACTTCTGGTTATTTATTCACTTTCGAGTTTAAAAAACTGAATCACCAGATAAGTAATCCAAGATGAAGCTAGCTGTGGTTATCCTGAATATCATCCTGGTCATCAGGGGTCTGTCGGTGGCTGAAAGTTTTGAGAGGGGACTTTCTTTCGAAGAAAGCGCACTGAGAGATTCAAGGGGCCCAGAGAATGTTCCCGCTCGTCGTGGTACTAAACCTTATTCCATAATGCCCCCTTCAAAAAATCTTACTCAGGTAAAAAAGAACTAAGTTTATTGAAATGTTTTCTGGACAATAAGCTTATTATGATTTTTAGATCGAACGTCTCAATTGGGCGGAAAACTGCAGACAATTCAGGCAAAAATGCAAGTTCTCCGAACAATGTTGCAGCAATAAGTGCTTGAAGCATATAAAACGCTGCACTACTTTGTGAATTTAAAACGCCTAATTATAAATAAAGTCATGTGTCGTAGTATATCAGAGCTCATTACAAGTTTTTCTAGCTTGATAAATAATGATAAATCCTTATCCCTTATGTTCTCTTTGAACCTGACTGTCTGATAATGAGCCTAGTAGTACAAGGCTGAAGGATGGAGGCCGGAGCTCATCCTTGTCATCTGGTTAGACACTCACTCGGCTGGCAATAATAAACTGTATCAACTGACAAACCCGTCAGTTGACACACAAACACTGAAGCGCTGGTAATGCGAAGTGAATTGTTTGGCTGCTCACAATCAACTTACATCGGTTTGTGTTTGTCACCGTTTACCAGCAAACAATATTTCCGCTCGCACATCTGAATACCCGGCCAGACAATGCGACAAAGCGCCATCAATGTGAATTTTTACATTCATAGACATTTGCATTGACACGAGTGCGATACACACTCGTGCCACATGCGATACGTATGTGAGTCTATATGTTCAGAAGAGGGAGTGATCCTTTCCCCCCCCTGTGTGGCACAAAGCGTGCACAATGAATTTAGACAGCGATTGTTTGGCTTTCTTGTCCCGGGCTTGTCCTGGCTTCCTTTGTTGTTGTCACGCCCCATCTTTTTACTTTTTGCTCCTCCAGCCAAGTGCTGCAGTTGGATCAACAATGCCCGCACGGACCTATTAAAATATGGGGAGCATTTCGGGGCGAGTCTTGAATTTTTTATGGGTCTACCGAAAAGTATGCCACACACTCGTAGGTGACCCTTTTCACGCGTTTTAAAACGCACATTAAACGCCAGCAATTGTTAACGCCGCAATCTACGATTTTATGTGCTTCCCATATTAAAAATTGATTATTTTTACAGCCCTCGGTTATCCTGCAACCTGCTGGCAATTGTTGCTGTCTAGTTTTATTCACCTTGCCACCACAAAATGGAGCGGTTTTACGTGCCACAGCTTGTGAGATTTATTTGGGTTTGAGCCTTGCATATATTTATCAACAATGTAGTACAGTAAGGAATGCAAATGCCATTTAAACATTTGGAACATATTAAGAAAATATTTCCCTAAAATTCTTCACTATGCTTTTGAAATTCTCCGATTTGTTTTGACATCACCTGGTTATTTTTTGCCACTTACTGGCTCCAACTTCGGTCGGCGCCTTACTGTCTGCTTTTCAAGCCATAGAGGAAGACATCAAAACTGCGGAACCGGAAGATATTCCAGGCATGCAGCCGCAACCGCAACACCAACCAAACTCTGAAGCCACCCACCCACCAACGATAAGAGACGGCAGCTTGATGAAGTTTGGCGGCGGTGCCTGGCAGGAAATCACTTTCGTTCCACTCCGTCCCGAAAAAGGAAAATAAACTGGGAGCGCAGTAAGATGGAGGGGCAAGACGAAAATCGATTGCTTTTGGCCATCAGCCATCAGAATTCCATATGCAGATTCATTGGCCCGAAAGTATGCAGCTCGCAGGGAAAGCGGCCAATTTGTCAACTGACGCCAACGAGTTTTTCCAGGGCCTACCTACTTCACTCTGACAGTCAGAACTGGGCGCCTTTAAACCCGGCTTTATGCCGGATTCTATAATGTATGCAGGTGTGCGTAAGCGTGTGGCAGCGCGTAAAACTTTTACATTGCACGTGTCGGCAGACACTTAACTGTCGAATGAATAATTCCGCCTGCCACAGCCAGCCGGCAAACTTTTATTGCTCTCGGTTGCTGCTGGCGATGGAACAGGTGCCTCAGGACTGCCAAATAACTTAAAGCAATTCGCGTCTTGCCAACTGTTTAATTGGACTTCGCAGTAAGCCAAGTGATGGCGGAAATTCCTTAACCGAAAGTGCAATGCCCGGCGCCACTCGGGGCGTATACTTGATGCGGGCAATGGGATGGCCCAAAACAGACTGTGCCAACTTATCAGTAATGACCTTTCCCCGCCGCCCACAAATACTCACTTACTGCGAGTGGCTGGAGTTTATGAAACCGACATATAAATTATTCAAGTGTGTGGACCTACTTCGCACACAGGATACCCTGTAGAAAAACATTATAGCATTATCTGATGGCTTGTATGGAACCAGATATTAAAAAGTTTCGTTAGAAATATTGGGAAAATAAAACAAATAAAGCCAAAATCCCATTTGGCTGCTAAAATTCCCCCTTGGCTTTCGCAAACGCAGACACCCAGTTGTTTGACTTCCAGAAGTTAGAGAAATATTTACAGCTTGAAAGGATTTTTTTTTTTGCGAACATCGCATATGTTTATATTTGCATTTTCTGGCCAGGATGTTGGAGCACAAAAACCGGGATTTTCTATGCCCGAGAAGGTTGGGGTGGAGGTAGGGGTGTGTCGGGCACGGACCATGAAATTGATTTAAAATGTGATGCTGCTGCCTAAAGAGACTGAGAGAACTCTGCCAGCACAGTGTCAAAGGACAGGGCAAACAGTCACGAGGCGATGATGATGATGATACTGATGATCCGTGCCCAGGATGAGGAGGTGGCTGAGGTAGAGGCTATGAGGTAGTGGCAGGAGGAAGGACGAGGACGAGTTGATGCCAGCTAGCGGTGTCGTTGTCCTCGCCAGAAACCGCACGTATGACATCAACTGGCAAGTCGTTAGTGCGGATTTAACTGGCGAAAGGAAAAGCCACACGAGCAGCAGTGGCAGCAGGAGCAAATCAAAGCGAATGTCCATCAACATTATGTGACTCTCAACAGCCTCTACAGTGGGCAAAAAAGTATTGACCATATATGTAATTTATATGTCTTATATGTAAAAAGGAAGTCTCATAATAATCAACAGCCCACATCACTTTATTTTGATAGCAATACTTTGTCCTTAAAACCCACTTTGCCACATGCCGCCGATGGCCACAGGACTTTTCCCCTGTCCATCTGCTTAAGCATACAAAGAGCCTTCAGTCCTACCCCCTTGGCTTTGGGGGGAAAAACATGGAAAAGCGGAAAAGTGTCAGCGCTTGTCAGGACGACCATGACCAGAGCCAGGCCTGTTTGTGAGGAGCGAGCAAAACTCATTATATTTCTGCTTGCCGCTCTCTTTTTCCGATTGAAAGCGCCGGCCCTTTAATGTTTGTTTCTGTTTCAGTTTCAGTCGCTGTTACTTTTTTAATCGCACACGCATATTTAAAAAAAAAAATAAAAAAGATAAAGAAAAAATAAAGGCAAGTGTGCTTCTGTCAGGGCGGCGCTTTGATGTGTCAAGCGTTCAATCGGGAGGGTGTAGAGCATCGGATGCGGCGTGCGGTAGGTGTGGGGCGTTGGGCGTGGAAATAAAACCCATAAACATAAACTCGGCTGGAAATTAATAACAGTGAATGCGAAATTTGCATACAAAGGCGGTCACTGACAGTGTAATCTGAGCTGCCAAATCCCCCGACCTGACCCCCGCCCTTTAAAGCCGCGACCTCACCGACGATATTAAAGGCAGCGGCAAAATTTGCATTTATCGACAGGCTACGGACGGGGCAGGGGATCTGATACTCATATAATGAGTGGCAGGGACACCAGCTCTCATTAAAATGTAATTGCCCATTAAAAGCGAGAGTAGGCTTGGCTTGGCTCCTTGATTTGTCCACTTTGCCGTTTCGAGAGTCGGGTTTTGTCCTCGGTTCCTCTTTGTTTCGAGTTGCGTTGTTTCGTTAATTGAATCGGCGAAATGACAACCAAAACGATTCCTTTGTATGCCCACGGGCAGTCCAGCGATGGCCACTTGTGCGATGGCCACTCGTTACGCATACGCTCCGTGGGCCACACAAAACATGCCCCTTGGCGGACTCTGCACGTCGGGACAAAGGCGGGACAAAAGCTCTTACGTGCAGTGAGAGAAAGAATGGATAGCCAAGGCATTTTCTAATCATTATAATCTTCATTTTAAGAGGGCTGTTAACACTTTAAGTACTTAATAGTATATTTAACTGAAAGAAGAGTCTCCTGCAATAAAAGCTTAAACAAAAAAATTAATTTTTTTTCTGAGGGCACACACGTGACGTGCAGATACGAGTCCTTTTTTGCTCTTTAAATCTTTACCATCGGCATTATCATTACCAGGAGGAACTTTGCTTTTTCATGTCGTCAACGAATTAAATTTTTTTGTCTCGTCCTCTCGGTTTGCCTTAGGGAACCGAGGAGGTGCTGCTGTGGGGTCATCAGACAAGGAACAAAAAATGCAAAACACAACTTTCGTTTTTAGTAGTAGTTTCATTTTCCATTTTCAGTTCACATCGATGCTCAGATTCGATGCTTGACAGTTTGTTTGGCCCACTTTCAGCTTGCTAATTGTTCCGAGAATGGCAACTGAAGGCTACAACATGTCCCAAAAAACCAACTGCCTGTTTTCAGTTATTAATTCAATTCCAAACTCAATTTTGAGGCTACTTTCCATGTACAGTTCACAAATTTCAGCTGCCGCGTCCTGCCGCGACTCTGCCCAACTTTGCCTAAAAAAGTTGGCCTCTTTAGAGCCAGCACATCGTGTGGTATGTTCGCGATTTGTTTGCTGTCCGCACCGGTGGCTGCATTTACGGCTGCTGCAGTTGCAGGTTTAGTTGTTGCTGCGCAACGGCAGCCAATTAACGGCAAATCCCCGACAGATCTCAGCCTTTCCACTGGCCGGTCCTTTCGAGTGTGAGCTCCCGACTGTGAGCTGCAGCTGCCAGTTCTAATTACCCGTCTGACTTGTCTAATTTCCAAGAGATTTTTTAATTAACAGCGCTGCAAGCCGCAACCAAAGGTGTGCAAACACAACACTCCACACACACACGTGGTGAGAGCGAGCGGAAAGCCGGGAAACTCTATCTCGACGGCAAGGCCAAATTGAGAGTGACATTTGGCTAAATTTAATCTGGGCTAAGCTGGAAAATCTTCCATTTCCCGTGCCAGAGATAGGGCTAAGCAAATACAGACTTTTCCAATTCAATCCAAGGATGTGGTATTGTAAAACTTAATTGAAGTTTTAACAACTATAATGTGGGTTCTAGGAAAACCCGAAGAAACCTACATAATTATCTTTGAAATATTT